TGTGGTTAAATCATGGTTCCATAAAGATTTTGTTAGAGCGGCATAGAGTAACCCACTGTATCAGTGAAAATCGGTAATATCATGAAAAACCTGTGCTATAGAGCGCAGCGGCCAATTGTAAAATAAACGTTTATTAAATATGTCCCACCTGAAGCGGCGATGTACGACGGAATGGCAAAATGGAAACGGTCTTTAATAGGGGTCACAATCCCGAAAAGTACGGTCTGTAAGGCTAACATCTCAAGCGCAAAAAGTCAGAAATTTATCTTGCTATGACAATTGACATACGCAGAAGGAAGCTCCCTTTTTGATTTCCTGAATATGGTTGCTTCTGCCGTAAAAGAAAGTCATCACGTGATATGCGTGAATTTCAAGAGTAGATTTTAGACGGTGAAAGCTTGCCCCTATATATGCCCTCGCTTATGATTGGTCTCTGGCCGGTAAGCAAGATTTCTCGTTTGTTTCTTTAGCATTTTGTGCATACTAATAGTTTTAAATTAAGCTATGAAAAACGCCAAAGACCATGTCATTTTCTTAATAGCCTAGCTTGAAGATGATTAAAGAGATATTGACCTGCAAGTGTGATGTGTACTACATGTAAAATTTTCTGCTCAACTATACATGGACTCAAAGCAATCCAACTAGATAAAATTGAAGTTTTAGTTCCGTTAAGTATCGCAAAGGTGCTAACTTTCATGCCGTTGAATATCTGGCGTTTTTAGTTTAAGATGTCCATTTTCTCATATGATGGTGTACAAAGCTCAATTGTATTCCTGCTTTTCTATGCATCCGTAACACGAGAATCCGCTAATATTAAAAAACACTTTTACTTACTAAGAAACATGTAACAAAAATGAATATAAGTATGACATACGTTACTATAGAATTGAGCTAGTTAAGAACGCCGATTTGAAACGGCTAAAACGAGTCTTAAGAGTTAAAAGGAAAATTTTCATAATATTTACTAATTATTCAGTCTCTGAAAATATTGCTCACTCTGAAAGGATTAATCACTTGTTCAAGCAATAAGTGCTTTGAGTAATCAATGGACACAATTGGTTGTAAGTGACCACCTGCCAGCCAGCATGCTTTTATTGTAAGCTTTCATCTGTGCGCAACAATATATTGTATCTAAATATGAACGTAAGGGCATACTAAAAGAATCGTTTTCCTACCTCGGTCGATTTCTCTGCCCTCTGTAGTTCAAATTCGGATCCTCACTGTCTGAGCCTTCTACCCGTTCTGTCTAGCCAGTTTGGAATAGATACTGTTATATATGTAAACAAGTTTCATTTTTTTATAATTACATTTTAAAAAATTCCTTGAAGAAAGTAGATGCATATTTCGAAACATGTTTCACACTAATGTCATCTATTATGGCTACGCAGATATAGGCTGTTGCCTATAACTGCTATTTTTCTAGATATAGGCACTATTGACAAAGATTTTGTAGAAGACAGATAAGTAAAAAAACCTCAGGAATGCATATCCTGGAAAATTTCAGGAAAGATAACATGTAGATAGAAAGATTATATATAGAGAACCCTTCACACACAACATGCAGCTACCGTCGCCAGACGATGTTCTACATTATGCGAGATACTAGCGTAGTCTGGTATTGAAAGACAATATATATGTTTGTATGAGAACATATAATAGCCTAAGCATAAATTACTTAGATATAATGTAGTGAAAAATATGGAATAGTATAGAAGAACTGTGTCCTGAATTGAAATTAAGACGGATCGCTGCAAAAACACAAAGTTAGCAACCATCTGAATGTACATCATTTATAGTAGAGCGTAACAGCTGAGTTACTTATGATTGTGCGAGTCTAGTAAATCACAGGAGTCATTGTTTCGACTGAAAACCCATAAAATAACGTTTTTTTTTTTCACGTTCCTGTCTCAGTAAGAAACTTTTGTCAAACACCTTAAGTTCAATAAGTCTTCAGAAAGGTAACACTACAGTTTGGTTCCACGATAATAAATTACATTTTACCAAAATCCATCTCTACAGCTGCGATACTATAAAATATCTACTGTATACTTCATATTTTATAAATCTATCTATTTGGTAATATAAAATAATGCAATAGGAAATTCGGCTGTTGAAGTGGATTGAAGAAGATTTCTTTTATAAGCCCAAATCAACTGAGGTAATTGCGTGGATTTATGCTTTGAAGCGCATTTCGCATAAATGCTCAGCAAAAAACTCTTTCTTATCGCGTACTTACAGAATATTTCCGAGCGAAGCTTAATGAAACGTGGTCTAATTATGTTCCGTTCAAAATACTGATATGCCTCGATGCGCTTCAAGCTAACCAATTGCTCTGATATCAATTAGCATATATTCGTATAATACTGAGTATCATTGAATATCATCAATGAACAGGATTGATTCTGAGCACCGTTCTGGTCCTGGGACCCGCATAACAAAATAAAATAGTCTTTATGGCGAGTGCCATACATACAGATGTGATAACGACGCTTCTACCGCGCCTAGTTCATTGGCGATAGAGTCCCGTGTTGCTTTTCTAACGCGTGCAGGAACAGCTATTAGAGTGAGTGATCAAGAGGGCGAGCAAGCAGCCGGCCAAAATAGGAAAAACAAGCCACTCATCTAGGCTCAATTTACGGCGCTATAAAGATAGGTATCCATCTGCGAGTGAGTGAGCTATCCACCCCGTCCTGGTAACTCATCTTTCGACCAATGCTGCTCTACTCCTAACTATTGGTAAACTTTAAAACAACTTTCGATTTCGCACAAAAAAAATGAATCGAAAGCACATTGTGTCTTGCTCAGTTACGGCGGATTACGTAGAAAGCTAGGGGAGCTTTACAAACGGTGATAAAGGTCGTCATCGTCAATGTACAGTCATCTAAAATAGACGGGCGGGTCCGGCCGACCATTCAGTATTATTGCATACATATTATCGTGGCGCGCTCGAGCACATGGCGGCCGCCTATCTGGAAGCGAAAAAAGAACGAAGATGGATGGAAGAGTTGCCAACTGGCTTGGACCAGGCTGAGCTCGGCGAATCACTGCGGATGAATACTGCTGTAAGCTACCCTGCTTTTGTCTACGTTCCGTTCGCTTAAATTGGGAGGTCAAGATACGCCATTGTCAGCCGACACGTACTATGCTGTAAACTGCATGTACAACTGAAATCTGTCCTAACCATCCGTTATCCGCTGAACCTTAAAATTAGATAGACATTCATGAAAGGCATGATGTCTACACTGGTATGTATAGATGCGACGGCCGTGTGCGGATTTAGCCTACGGAGGCCCTGTTGATAACGGCCTGTAAAAGCCTAGTGTAGTTATCAAAGCTACATGTGTAGCATGGTTGGTGATACGGTATAAATAGACATTGTCGATTGGAAAAGTGGAATTAGATAATAAGAAGTCTGAAAACCCACTGTAAATCCGTTTATAGTCAGAAACATTACTAATGTATTCGTAAAAAACGTATATACCTTTATCTGAAATATGTATCGATTGCATTCGGGACAATGCTATATTAATTATAAAAATACAAGCACAGGTTAATCCATATAGCTGACCTTCGTACGTACCGGCGATATGTTTGATCTACCGGTCTGTAAATGCCAAGACCGCACTAAGGCATTGCGCGACAAAAGCAGCCCTGGTAAAGGTCTACCTGGATCTCTACACTTACCTCTAATACCTATGGACCAAAAGACTAAATAATCCATACATGGAGTCCTTATAACAAGCTTGAACCGTTGTTGCAATCCGACATCCTTGATGACAGACTACCGACTTGTAGACGCTTTACACCTTCGTAAATTACTGAAGATTGTCGTCTCAGTACCGTGACAATCGTTCGAGGTAAAACCAGAAGGAACTTAAAGGAGGAGCCTAAAGGAAGTCTACCAACTCTTCGACCCAGAATGCTAAGACTAAGACGTCAACTATGCACTGGCAAGCTTGTGCTCTTAAGTCCGCGGCACAGTCGTAAAATTTAGATCGATTTCTTTATGCGGTCGTCACAACTCACGCCCTATCTCCGATGAATTATTGCCTCTATGTTTCGAGATTTACGTCCCGTATCGCCAGTAGACATTCCATCAAGCGGTTGACTTGTAGCACAAAACGAAGTCTGTGTATGTCCTATGGATTATTGCCTAGAAAACCTTCGCCAGCCCTAGGTTGCGCGTCGCTAACAGCGCTATCGTCCAGAACGATTTGTCACTTGAAGAGTTACGTTCGACTTATTGTTCTTGATTGCAGCATAAATTGTGTTCTTTTACCGATAGATAGGCTGATCGCTTGAATTACCCCGGAGTTACGTAACTCACCAAAATGTGTCGTAAGCTAGTTCTAGACAAGCGAATTTGGCTACTACAAGCATCTTTTCTTAGAAGCATTTTTTCGGTTGAAGTGTGTGCGTGTGTTGTACTATACGAATAATAACAGTCGCTGCTGGAACCTGCGTGAGTGTCAGAAACTCGAAGTAGTTTCGGAGGTCGGAAGTTCCAAAAATAAGTACAAGTAGCGTACCACCGAAGTCCGCTACCCCGTTTTCTGCACGTTTGTTCGTCGCTCGATTTGTCAACGTTCCTTAATAGCATTGACGAAGTGACGGGAAACGTACGAACAAAACGGGCAGAAAAGGAGAATAGGCGAAGCTACGCTGAGCCTAGTCTACGTCTGTTCGCACTATGTGTACGTGTCCGGTTGAAGCAGTTTTAACACTCGTTCAAGTTTTTGTGCCCGCCTGTTGTCGTTAGGCGAGACTACGGGTCCTCGCGTCCGCGCGGTATGAGAAACCGTCTTCACTTAACGATCCTTGTTCCATCCGATCCTTCTGAGCTTGCTGAGTTTCAGTCGCCGCGATCGCGTCAGCCACAGACAGATACACAGACCGCGCTCAGTCCCGGTCTGCCGATTGCCACACCGCGGAGCCTACAAACACCATTGTATCAATTTTCACGAAACAATCTCTGGTTTGCGTCGCCTTCGGTGTTTCAGGAAACACTTGAGAATGGTGGTACCTGTTTCGAGTTTGATGCAACCGGGAGCCAACGGAACCTGTCCGTATCGTCACCAATCGCCAAATCCGTTTCTTTCCATTCGGGCACAAGCCTACCGGAAGAACGAAAAATTTCGTCGGGTAAGTACCGTGCCTAGTGATGAACTCGTTAGGATGATATTGATAGAATGAATAGATATCGTTAGAATGATACAACCTTAATCGTTATGATCAACCCATTCTTTAAGAATATGATCTTGTTTAGAGATCTGTCACAAGCATCTTGAAAAAAACAGATCTTATAACAATGAGATTTGGCATTCATGAAGGCAAAGCAGTGACTGGGTGAAATCAGAACGCGAACGACCTTACGAAGTCGTGTGCTCAGAGCGAATCTAACGGATTGAAGATTTTTCATATCGTTTTAAGTAAATTTCCTTTTTGGTGATATAATCCTGCTTTGATACTGTACTTCTATGCAAGACGTATATTTTTAATACTATATTGTCCATACAGTTGAGGTAAGTATTAATACCACTGCGTTAATTTGAAGCTTTTGTTCCAGTTTACAGTATAATTCAACAAATTGAAGAGCCACTGTTGTATTATAAAACAAAGGATTTATAAATTATTCGTCTATCGGGTGCGTAATCCGCTCACTCATGTGGTAAGCCAATAACCTTGCACTAGTTGGCTTTTGTGTCGCACCGAAAGACGATCATTGTTTAGAAAAATCTATTTAATTAACTATATAGGTTCGAGACCTTGATCCTCCTCGCGCGTCACTATTCGCTAACCAAAGACCGATTCGTTGTTGTTTTTGCCATGTACATATCTAACAATAACGCGGTTACTATTTCATCGTTTGTGGGTAGCCTACGATTGTCTGCAGTTCATGATGAAGGGCTGCAGCTTGCTAAAGGTGCGGGCCAGCTCACGTCAATACCGACGTTACTTTACATTGGACGAAGACCTCGTCGCCGTTCGTTGGGTTCCATCATCGAAGAAGTCCAATAAGGCCAAACTAGCAATTGCTCACATACGCGAAGTGCGTCTCGGAAAGACAACGGACATTCTTAGGGAGAAAGAGGTGGCAGGTGGGTTATTTAACGTGCAGTTTCTGGGTATAATCTCATGTACATGAATACTCGGTAAATGAACAGCCATGCGCAACAGTATCATCATTTCGTAAGGGGCAATGAAGGTCTTTTTGAGTAAATTTATTAGTAGCGAATCATTCTTTTAGTAAAACGATGCATTGTCTTCTACATGGGCCATTTTGGAACTGGAAATGGTCACATTACAAAAAACCTTATTCGTTATGTTAGCGAAAATTTTAGGAGATCTTGCCTTATTTTTCCCATTCATTTTATTTATACCCATAAAAGAAATGGAAACACGTCTGCCAGACAACCGGGAGTTCGATTTTGTAGAATTTTTTTTACAATACATAAAGCCAAATTGTCTACGTAATACAGCCGACATTGTAGCTGCTCGCCGGTGTAATACGAGTGAGCAATCATTTTGGTTTAGCGTTACTATATTTTTTGCCTTGTCTAATTTTTTACAATCTTAATTCAATTTTTTATTGACCCATTTTAATTTGTCGACGACATTAGGTAACCGTGTGTTTCTAGCATAGCGCCGTGCGTACCTAGAACGTACGTTTACAGCACAAAGTTCCTCATTTTTCACTCTTCCATTTTTAGGGGAATTAAGGCAGTGGTCTGGATTTTAATATTCATTTCGACAATCTACCAACTAGAGCATGGGTGCCACGTTCGCTTTGTTCGCTGTGCACGCGCCTGCGTACTTCACACGTGCTTATCTGCTAGTACCGTAATAAAATAATAGAGACCGTAATAAAAGATTCATCCAAAGACAGATTTCTGGACTTGTACGCACGGTGTATGAATGTCGGAGCGTGAGCTAAATTACCCACTAGATGCTGTGATTGCCTAATTTGAATTATTAATGTAAAGGTCCGAGCTGTTATAGTTAGGTTGTGGCATAGGGTGCAACCACAGCAAAACCGGCTGTGTTATTTGAATGCTAATTTCGAAAAAAACAAGCCACCCCTTCTTATTGATTTTCACGGAAAATCAATAGATCTTTGAGAGTTCCGTATGATTCGACTATTATTATTTACAAGGCAGACATTTGGCTCTAATATTATGAATGCGCTTATTGATTGACAACGTTTTGCATCTATCTAAATGCGTATCTTTAAACTCTTATTCAATTGCAAAAGGCGGACTTATCGACAGTGCAAGAGACTAAGCTTCCAAATATATTTACTTGCTTCATAGATTTGCGTAACTACATGCAGCTTTTCTCATTTTCTAGAATAATAATAATAATAGGCACGATACTCACAGATCCCCCCCTCCCCAGAAAAAACGTCAACAGAACCGCGTAGTCTTCAGAAGGATTTATCACATTTAAGGAATGTTTGAAAAATTTTAATAGAATAAAATCACGGCTTCTCCTAGGAGAAAGATCGCCTATGTAACTATTGAAACCCCCGTAAGTAGGAAGAATTGTATTGTAATTTCAACGTTGTTGACTTTAACACATCAAGGTAATCCATTAGCTTAATGCGGTCGCTGTGTATTATAAATTGCCGGTGCTGTGCTTATATATATTTAATTGGTTCTTTCGCCGGTGTAAACAGGATGCTATTCAGAGGATTGTGTTTTTTCGATAATCTACGGGGATGCGTACGAATCGCTCGACCTCGTTGCCTCAACAGCGGATGAGGCCAACTTCTGGGTTACAGGCCTCTCGATGCTGGTAGCCGCGCGCAGGACTGGACAACCTGGAGGAGGACCTGGGCCAGGTGGGGTCGTTCCAGCCAACCTCGATGAACGACAACTAATGCGCGAGAAGTGGTTAGAGGAATGCTTTCGACAGGCTGATACCGATAGGTATGTTGTCTTTAACGTTCTTCCGAAAGGATTTGCGGCTTTCTAAGTTGCCTATTGTCGAAGCTAGTTTATAACAAGTAACGCACCGACAGGTCTTGTACCCCATAAGATTTTACGATGGTCAATCCTCTCGGAAACGTTACACGTACAGTAGAGCAAATAGGATGTCTAATACTTGAACCATACCTTAAGAATGATTAGTTACAAAGCACAATGTACGCAGAAATGCCATTTATCGCATTCCCTACGCTTCCCATAAATACAGTCTGCTCGCATCTTTCCGAATGATACAACATCCAGATTTTACGTTTAATTTTTGTTAACTTATGCGCTACTTAAATGGATTGTACTTGAGACAGCATACTGTTTTCTTTGAACTTAAATGTAGTTCCACTGGAAAACATTATGTTACTAGCAGTGATTAGCGATCTGTGCTTACTGCTTGAGATGTAGACTAAGTAGTATCCTATGAAGGCCTATTACAAGGCCAAGCAAATATGACGCCCCTGCGCTATTACTCAAGGCTCGGCCTAAAAATTTGCGACTCTGATAAACTAGTTGCCTGATGCAGTCTTTTCGATATGTGAACCGAATTTAGTGACAATGACCTGTGATATGTTAAGAGAGGCGTTTCCGTTATCTAAAAGCGGCGGCATCAAGATTATTTGACGTGCGCACCCGCTGTTATCGTTAGATTCATATTTTGTTTGATAGGCTGCCACTAATAACTAGCATCAGACTTTGCCTTGCGTTTAAGTAAACTGAATCCGACCTATCGGTCCAAGTCCTACATTGGATTTCCACCAAAAATAATATTTGTACGGAGAAATAGAGCTCCAGTGTAGCGCATGATTTCCGTAAGCCTTGAATCCTGTGACAAACATATATTTAAAGGGACATATTGACAGGCCTACAGGTAGTGTCATTATACATAGTTATTATAATTATGAATGTAGACTGCGTGCGCGTAATAAAAAATTGGTCAATTTTGCCAAGTGAGACTCCAACTGCTTTTCCCATCAAATACTAACCATAATCTATTCCGAAACCGACAAATGGTTCTTAGTGGATATTCTCTAATATTAGCCGTTCGAAGACTATTGCCCAATTGTGTTTTGTCACATTACCTATGGTAAACATAAAGCAGCCTGTTAGTACCGCATTAGCGGTGCTCATTGGTATTAGTGCTTGAATAATTACTTGAACCTCGTTCAACCTTCGCAGCCCGCTATAAATTGGTTGGTACCACATGGATATGATACTTTCAAGTTGTACAAAGAAACACTGCAGTCTCAAGTTTGCTGCTTGTGTAAGATAACTTGTAGCATACATACTTCAGCCGCCCAAGATTACAACATCTGAACGTGAATACAGTGTGACAAACCTAGTGATGCAGTATACAAATAGAGTAGACATCACAAGGTTTAGCTGATGTCACCATAGAAAGTTCAAGTATTAGAAGTCTCTGACCAAAAAAACCCAGTGATTCACTCTTACAACGCGGCATACCTACGAAGCCTGTGCCACTAGCGAAAGCTCATTTATATTGTGGTAGCATTATATGAGGAGTATTGGGAAGCGTTTGGACAAGTTTGATGTTGTAGGTTAGGTATTGCCATTATTATCGATCTGCTACTCGGAGCATTTCAGCTAAATAGAAATGACAACCCCTCTACAAATAACACAAGCGGACGGAATCGATCGGCTGCGTCATTGACCATCGCCTCGTGACATTTCTAACCTGGAACATAAGCCATATCCTGATCACTTAGATCAGCTTCCGTTGCATAGGCAGTTCATTTCGTCAGAGAACATAATCGGCAATACGCTGAGCCCCAAATCACATATGGCAAACTTATGGCAAAAGTGGACAATGAGCTCTAGCGGAAGGAGCGGTGCCCTTACGCGAGACGTTAAACGCGCAAGGTTATGGCAATATATAAAACACCATTCCAACAAACGCATCATTCCGATAAAGAGGGTGCCCTCATCAACTTCGTTAAGGTAATGCAGAGCTGAATGTCTCGTCGTCTGCATCCACATGAACCAGAGGTTTTGTCGTACTAAATGACTGCGGAATAATATCTGTTCTTAGGTATATATGCTATCAGGCCTGATTGGTCTGGGAAGATATTCGATGATTTTTCCTCAGTGGGTGCGAATAGTTATCGATAGTCTAGTGCTAAGTTTATCCCAATGAAATGCGCTTTCTTTATTCAGAAGAACCAAGTTTCCATTAATAACTAATGCGAAATGGGGTTTGGATACTGTACGGTGAAGTCGAGAGCTTTCTGGTAGAGCTGAAATTAGATTAAGCCCTGTTCGAAATACACGCTGGCGTATTATTGCTCAGAGACTGTAACGCTTTGTCTGCGTATATCACATAGACATAGCAGCTCTCCTGTCGAAGCGTCTAATGGGGGAAATGCATCGCTTGAAAGCTTGACGAGATCTAGCTAAATTCGGAATCTAAAATGAATCTCGATAGCTTTTCGGCGTCGTGCTAAGCTCGCCATTGGCTGAGGCTGGGCAACTCGACAGAAGTAGAGAAGTGCTTATTCCACTGAGAATGATGTTCCTCTAATGAAAAGTAAACGGCACCTTCTAGTGCTGCTAGGCCAGGGATAACAGTAAATCCTCCTCAGCCAGTGATAGACCACGCATCATGCCAACTGTGCAGGTCGATCCAACGAAGAGCTCAAATTGTATTACGACAAAAACGTAGCTGCTCTGATCCATTTTTTGATAGTTGTTCTCTTTTGGCCAAATCATTCGAGACCACTTAGCCAAGCCAATGGCCTCGCTTATTGGGCTTAGTGAGCCAACTTGCAAGACTGTCCGTAGGCCTTTTGTCCGTAAGATGACTAGTCTTGGCTGGCTTATGGAGATCGTGTGGATGAAAAGTTGACCATAATACTTCTATGATAATTCGCATAGCAGGCTATTATCCAGTGACTAGCATAGATTAAACCGAGGATCGTATAGATAAGGTGTAAGCATGAAACCATACTGACATTAAGTAGTTTAGGACAAAGATGGCATTTTTTAGTTTGCCTAAATATTTATATTCGTTTTAGGCAAAATAAACCAAAGTACAGCAAATCGTAACATTTGTATATAAAAACTGTAAATGTAATTTATTTTTATTTACATGCCATTGTCTACTTTGTTTAACAAAACACCTAAAAATATCTGATTGTTATTAAGAAAGTGAGTTTGAGAAATGCAATGACGTTACAGACAATGATACCTACTGTTAATATGGTTTTTGTAAGGCTTGCAGTCCTATTCGACGTTAGTCGCAGGGAAATGAAAGCAAGCCGTTTCATCGCAACATCACAGATTCACGGAATGATCTAAATGAGGCCAACTAGGCTGTTTGTTTAAGTGCTCAGAGGAACCGCTGATGAAAACTTAAGTTTCCCTTAGCGAGCATAAGAAACACGCAAAGGAAAATAGCTACGACTCAACTAGCCAACTGAAAGATGTCGTATCTTGTAACATGTTTAGCACTGAAACATTGAGCTCAACCTTTGAAGCAGTCGACATTTGCAATGTCTACAATCTCTCAGTTATATCAACCGTCATTAATCTTCACGGTTTTCTATCTGACTAGGTGCTTTCTCTCTGCACCTGCTTCGTCTCACTGGAAACGCTACACCGCCAGATCGATGAATTTCTAATCCATATTTTCCCTATACCCTTCGTATTAGTGTGGGTGTAGTTCGTTTGAGAGATCTGTTATACAGTGTGTTTGCAGACTCGAAAATTTACAATAGAAAGACAATGAAAAAATTGCTGAAGTCTTCCCAAAGCTGACCAGCTGGAAGATTGAATCGATTTTGCAGAGATCGCCAGAGAAAAGAAAAAGGCAGTGGAAACGAAGTTGGAGCTCTTTGAGTATCTTCGCCACTTTTTTGATCATACAAGTTCGGCTTGAGTCTGTTTAAATCGAGAGATAGCCCTAAATAGAAATTCTTCGGTTACACCATCGTCAATACCTTGTAAAATCTCAGTTTCGTATAAATACTGTAAATGTATTGTTTTAAGCTGTTAAATGGAAAGTTTTTTATCAAGGCAACTTAGATTTCCGTAGAAAAACACGTGCCCTGGGGTGCTTGTCAGATGGGAGCCATTCATGCAGAAATCTTGAATTCGATTTTTCTGTAACTTCAGCTTATCAGGAAAATTTGGTAAATCTTGTTTGGAGAATGCTAGTTGATTGAAAGGCTACACCATGCACAGGCGCTGATGCTTACTGCCAGACCTGTTTCAGTTTAGTTGTACTACCTAGCGGTGACCTTTGATGATTCACTGTACCCTAGCGGTAAGGTGTCGGCAGCGTTTCATTTAGAATACGTGTGTTTGTACAATTTCGAATATTATCGCCTGGGTACCGACTGCTGCAACGCTTCGCAATCATAATGGGTTTCTTTGTTATTAGGAGTGATCCCCCATATGAAGGACGGCACAGGTCGTGTCTGGGCACTATTAACTCGGCCGAGCACTTAAACAAAGGTTTATTATAAAATATGTTGTCCACGCGTTTCAAAGATCGGCGCCCAGGTATTAGCGGTACGAAAGCCTTAACACCAAGAGAAGCATATATGGAACGTTCGTGGAACAAACTGACCCAAATCTACGTATGAATTAGAGCTCCAGCTGCAAACCAAATCAGCTGATCTCTTCTTTTTTAAATAGAATACACATAAGTACACACCTCTACTGTAGGACAATATGATTAAACGCGATTAGCAACAAACCAACTATCTGTTACATTGCATTATCTGCAAAGAACCGCCCTGCTGGCGTCTAACTAATGGCAGTCTGCTGTTTGCAAACGTTCCTTTGCTGTTGCCGTTGTTGTATTAGCAACAGAATCGGATTATGGAAGATATTTCCTATTCTTATTGTATCTTTTCCTCTATTATTTATCTGCCTAATTTCAATGTTGATGTTACGTGCCGTAAGCATATTGTTTACAACAATATGCTAAGTAAATACATGTTTATATATGTCTCGAAATTGCTATTTCCCATTAGAAAAAATTATGTAGCAAAGGATCGTTTTTCCAAAAAATTAGTAAGCCTAGAGTGCTCGTTTCTCAATTTCTTGTTGATAAGCCATTCGCTGCCTCCGATGGTTCAGTCCTCTGTTTACTGTAATCCTTTCGCATTTATACTCTTAGCACTGCGTGCCGCTATGCGTCTAATAGTACACATACATACATATCTATATACATTCGGCCTCGTATCTTTTGTATCCGCGGCAGGTACATATAGTCGTAATACGAACGAGAAGATACAAACGAAGATACAATACAATACCGAAACCTTTTTAGTCTTCTGACGGGGCCACTGCTCCTTCGCGAGATCGACCTCCTGAACGTTCGAAAGTTTACATGTCGACAATGCACAGGTCGATTGTATTTGTTTGCTATTTTTTTCGTCTTGTTGTTACTATAACGACCGTCGTCTAAAAACCTTATTGATAACATTGTTCGAATAACAAAACAGATGCGTTAGCTCTCCCGTTGTTGTGGTTTTGCTGTCCTGAACTTATCTCTCAGGAGAAATTTGGGCTTATCTCTTACATTTCATCAAAAACATATTGTCTCACTTTATATCATTGCTTCTTTCTTTGGCAAGTATAAACCGGACAGAGAGCTTGTCAGCATGGTAGGTTCTATTCCTAGTTGGCGCTCGGTTATGATGTACATGTAATTCATTCACAGCAGACGCGCTGATGGCGGAAAGCTTAGCCTTGAAGACTTGCAGAGGCAATCATATAGCGGTTATATCGCTGTCGAAATAATATATCGGTGCGATATCATTAGTGTCATGACTGTCGCCATTTTTTCCTCCTGGCGGAACGAACGCACGTAAGGACAGGCGTTCACACATTAGCAAATGAAATTCGCATAGCTAGTATACTAGACTGTGAAGTAAGCGTACGGTCCGTCTGGCTGTCTTCTGTTTACCTTAAAGTAACTACTTAGGGTCAGTCCTGCCTCTACGATAACTCTATGGAACGCTACAGCCTATCGTCACTTCAGTTGAATCAGAAACCAAAAGCGTATAGAATTACGACTGTTACAGGGAAAACAGCTGTGTATGTGTCGCGATAAGCTACAGGACATATGTCTCACTGCCATTTCAAAGTTTAGCGCGGAAAAATTGCTCGTTGTTACTTGGTATAGTAGTTGATTTAAGCACCGCATTTATGCGTGAAGTTTGTTATAAAAGTCTCGTCATACGCTAGTTTACGGTATGATTGGGTCGCTACCATCAGCTTCGTTTGCTATGTACCATAATGTACTGTACAAGTTTATACTGCTGGAACAAGCATCCGTTTGGCATATACTTATGCTGTGTGGGACAAAACTACGTCAAAGCATCCATTAAGCACGAATTACGATACAACGGGTACTTCGTATAAGTCACGCACGTGGAGGAACATTTATATTCAGCCATTGTTTCTTTCATGCGAATTGCCCTCTCGCTATTATCTTCTCGTCCTGATTGCTTTTGCAGTCGCCATGCATAGCACTTTAAGGCCACAGCTGCAAATCATCCCCTGGATGACGTGGACTAATCAGATTACTCTATAGACATTATGTTTTATCTGGACCCTGGACGAAACATTTATTTCTGCTGAATCGGCCTCGATATAAGTTAGCACAGCCAGTCGGGAAAGGGGGCTCACAGCCGTTTGGACTAGGACGACGCGATTTATTCATCCGAATTCAAGTCAAACTCATATATCCACCTTTCTCAAGTACATTTAAATTGTATACATATACATTTATAATGACAGCCTTGGGTGTTCCTAAGCTAGGAAAGGGTCACCGGAATAATCGACCCAGGGTCCAGGGATTACTTAAAATTTAACGATGCGACAACTGTATTGGATAGTGTACACCACGATATTGCAATTAGTTACCCAGTGATCGAACCTGTGGCCAGCAAAAGCACGATACACGTCATAAGTTGCTTACGTCTAGTACAAACACGTAGACGACGGTGAAACCCTGTACTGCATAGCGCGGCACAACCGATCGAGTCCCTCCCAGGTTTCACCTGTCATGGCTCTCGTTTGATAAAATTTGGCGTCGATCTACGCGAGCCTTCGATTTTATTTTAGCAGGCCTTCTTGTGACAGAAGGTGACGGAAGTCCCCAGTGAATAGCGGCGTCGCTGCCAGGATGTAGACGAGCTTGTTACGGGTTGTCCGTTGCAATCCCAAGGCTTTTTTGAGGAACGAGATCTTTAGTCGGTTCGAATACCCCAATGTGAGATTATCTAGCTCACCCCGCATGCGGAAATTGGCACCATTTTAAAATCGAATGGTGCGGGAGAATCGGTAAAAGTTTCGTATTGAAAGCGAAGCTGTTAAAGCCTTCCTGCGTCTTCCTGTAATATGCTGGAAGAAGCTTTGACTGTTATACGGAATCAGCAACTCTAAGTAGGTGAATCTAGTGACGTATGTCAGCCGTGAGCCAGAGAAATAAGCGTCCCCCAGGCCGCCAGTTACCTCCTCTGAATTTCATCGTCTCGTTTTTGGTCGGATCGATGGTCCATCCTAATTCCGAGACGACAAAATGTGACCTTGCTAGGGCCTACTCCACATGAAAACGATTGCTGCCGCAAATAATTAAACCGTCTGCATAGAGGAGAGCCTTCATCAAAACTTCCAGGCCCATATACCTTGTCGAGAAGATCTTTAAGCAAGCCTGAGAAAAGAAGAGTGCTTAAGTTATTACCCTGGGCCACATCTGTAATCCAGAAAAACGCTAACAGCCTCAAGATTTCATCATCGATTGTAACTTTATTTTTCTGGAGTATTGCTACTGTAATGTTAAGCGCCATCGTCCGAACGCCTCAGAACTAATTTTCTTGGGACGGAATCAAAAGTAGCTTTAATGTTTACGAACGCTGCGTGGGTATATTGCCGAAAGACACTTGAAATTCGCTTGATATCAGGAAGTAGAACCTTACATGCCGTTTTAGTCGAATGCTCTCTCCTGAATCCGTGTTGCCCCTTAAGCATCGCACTTGCACTCTCCAGAAATACGTTTACTCTCTTTGCCGGGAGATACGAGAGAAGTTTATAGCAGACGCTTTTTCTCGCAATCGCGTGCCTGGATCGCCTTTGCCTTTTAAGATAATCAAAAGCGTTACATCCCGTCAATGAAGAGGAAGCAGCCTTGAGTAAAAACGTTTGTTGAACAAAATAGTTCAGCATGGCGACCTAAGGGATCTATTTCGACTCCTTTTTGGTCCCGTTGCCTTTTTTGAGTGGTAACTCTCAAGCTCCGGAGTCAATTTTAGGACAAAAAACTCCCGGCTCATTCTTTTGAATCCGCTTATTGTTGGTCCGTTTGAGGTTGCGCTGAGCGCTAAGACCTCCTGAGGTAAGGTGTCACTAGATGAAAACTAGCGAAGTGGGCGATGAGCACTGACAAGGCAATTGGACACATTGCAGTTCTGCGGTGGCCAAGCCATATGTTGACCGTGTGTTGGGCCTCTCTTTTAGAATTATCCTCCTGGTATTTTTGAGCATCTCTTATACTAGATGGCATACGTTTTAGGACAGGTTACTCTAAACACTGCGACCAGTGGCCCGGCTGCCGCCTGTACTGTTTCCAGTGATGTAGTACTTCCTTGGTACTCTAGGCGAAATAGTAATTGTAATCAGATCATGGCCGATATTTTACGGGACGAGCTGAACAAACCGAAGATTGATGTCGATGAGAGACAAATAGACCTCAATATTTATGAAGTTCAACAGCGGAAAGACCTCGTAAGCTCGTTTCAGGAGCTTTAAGTTTATTTTACGCGGTAACGGTTTATCTCTCCGGACGAGCGCTGGTTCTAAAAGAATCTTGAAATCTAATTTAACAGGAACGTCTGCCTGAAACTGTCTTCTTTCATGAAGCAAATAATTCTCTCCAACGTATCAAATTTTATCTTTACACGCGTTATTTACAACGATAGTGCAGAAACGATAAGTAAAAATTGGGAAAGGAACTGGATGACAGCAGGGCCCTGTTGACGTGTTGCTGGTATAAGTGGGACACCAGTTTGGGCTGCTACATAGCCGTCATCGGCAAAAAAAGAGACAGCAGTTAAGCCCAGTATGGCCCTCAGCTGGCTAGGGTGACAAAAACTTGAGCAGTTGAAGTCACACTATCGGCTGGCATTCGATCTTTTAGTTATTCGCGACTTGTATCTTTGCGTTACCCACTCTTCCCCCGTGGGTTTTTTTGCCGGCTTAACAACGTAAACTATCTGTGTCCTATTTTCGTTTTCGCCTAACAATTAGGTATCGTAGCTGTTCTGTCTACCTATATGTCTGTCAAAAGCGGATGGTGACACATGGGAAGGAAGAAGTCGAGTGGTCAGGTTAGGAAAATAAAGCGTGGTAGTTCACGTACAATTGAGACAATCCATTGGTTCGCTGATAGCAATAAAAAAATTGAAATAGACTACATACATCTGATAGCAACAGTAGTAATATAATCCGATAGTAGTAATATAAGCGACAACAGACTATCAATTAACGTACGTTGATTGCATATGCGTCCATAATTACATTTTTTATTACTAATAATAATTTATTTCATCCTATTGCAGGAAGGGGCTTCTAGAAGAAAGTGAAACGATTGCCCTAGCCAAAAAAATCAATTCTCAGCTGAGTACTGTTCGGTTACGCCAAAAGATTCAAGAATTTTCGATTGAAAGTGGTGAACGAACAGGCCGCATTGATCAAAGACAATTTGTGTCACTTTTTAAAGATCTTGCCACTCGGCCTGAAGTGTTCTTTCTGATGGTGCGCTACTCCGGCAAGGACTACTTTGCGAAGGACGATTTGCATTTCTTTCTAGAAGGCGAGCAGGTAAAAATTAAAAATGTAGTCAAAAACGCACAAGTACGTAATACTCGTATGGTTATAATCGTTTCTCCAATGGTTTTTTAACATAGAGTGCATGAACTAGAATTAGCTTGCCTATTATTCAGAACGATTTCTTGTTCTCTTTATGAATGAAGGTCCTGCACAGGCTTCAGAATAATAGGAAGTTTCACTAACAAACTGCGATTCAGGTTTGTACACAATATCGAGATACGTAATTAATTATAGACTAGGTTGATTCATTGCGCCTCGTCTCCCACTTGTTGTTTACTAGGATGCGAACACTGAAATGAAGAAATTTCAGGCCATATTTTTCTTCTGCTATTTATTGTTTTAGGAGATGGAAACGAGCGATGAGGATGTGTGCCGGTTAATTGATGAATTTGAGCCATCGGAAGAGGCGCGTGCTGACCATCAAATTCTCCTTGATGGTTTTACGTTGTTCCTGCTGTCGCAGAACGCCTCATTGATGCCTCGTAGTCGCGTGCATCACGACATGACACGCCCATTTTCACACTACTTCATTTCCACGTCATGTAACACGTAGGTGTACGCATTTGTTCGTTATAACAAGTACTGAGTGCCAGCTCAGGCTGACTGAGCTCATATAGCGGACGCGTGTGTCTTGTACTCAAGAAGATACCTTCCTATAGTAAATAAAAGATATTGATTCTGAAAACATAGATTTCAATAAGATTTAGTTCTTCATTGTATTGGCTTTTTTAGCTTATTGTTTTGTACAAAAAGGTTATCTAAAACATTACTTCCTGCGTGTGCAATGGCTATATCTAAACGATCATAAATTGATGAAAATAATTTTTCACACTGATTCATTGCTCGTTCCGAAGTCAAATAGGTACCCTTAGCGTCGCCTTATTTCTTATCAGCATACACCGATATTGTTGACATTGCCTGTAGGTGGCAGATTGAAGACGAAAATGATGTTCTTTCAAGTGTTGAGGGTTACGTGCAAGCTTTGACGCAAGGCTGTCGGTGCATTAAAATCGATCTCGTCCTTGATGAGACTAACAACTTTATCGTCGGAGGAACATTACCCCTTCAAGAGGTTCTTGACACGATAAGGGACTTTGCATTTGCAGGTTCGTTTTCGCTATCTGCATATAGGCTTATAAATTATCATATAATTTTTCACAAACATACTGCGTACCACACAATCTTCTATAAGTAAAATGCCAAAATACCCAACTGCTAATGACGAGCGTTTACAGAAATGTATGAGTAATAATAATACATTACGAAACGAATTAATAGTATACATACAACAATAACATAAATCAATCATATGCCAGTTCAAGACTTAATAATGGCTAATATTCTGCAGCTTCGAAGTACCCCCTCATCGTTCAGTTACATTTTTCACCATTACCTCATGAGGACGCCTATCGATTGGCACAACAGCTGCGAAAGTCGTTAGCTGAATATCTCTACGTGGCCTCTGAGACCAGCTTAAATCAACCGTTTTCAACAAGCATTTCGCCCGAGAGTCTGCAGCATAAGATCTTACTCTACGTGAGTGAACTTCGCAATCTTTTTTCATTCAAAAGATAAAAGCTTATAACGAATATGGATGTCATTTATTAAGTAGTTAATGTTTACATATTGGAGCTTAACTACATTGCTACGAACATCGGTGCGGAGCACAAGATATTTATGGCTAGATTCTATAGTACAGCCGTTACCCGGGCTAGTCCCACAACAACGAACATAGGGTCTAACCCGGTTGTTCCCTTTACCGATTAAATAATAATAACCAATGGTGTATGTGTTTTTTTTTGTCTGTAAAGTTCACGTCGGCTATTTCTGCCACTGACAGCGGTTCGGGAAGCGCCAGTAGCGGTGGCAGTAATAACAACAGCCGAAAAAAAGGCGGTGGCGTTAACCTTCTTGATGGGTGGGATTTTGCCCATTCAGCTTCAGAATTAGCCGAGTTGGCTACTTTGAACCAATTCAATACATCGTCGTCCCAAATCATCGATTTGGCTGTGCAACAGAATCAGCAATTGGAGAATGAAGTGTGTTTATTATCGGAAACGGCTGCCCTTAAACTTTGCCATTCGTTTGCCGATGAAGTCGTACACCATTCGAAGAGGTTCGTGGATCATTCGAATATGGTCCTACTGCCAATTCACTGTCCTGTTTCCAGCTTTATAGGATGATCCAGCGACAGGATGACACAATACAAACATTATATTATAATTGTAAAACGATTTTGGTCATAAATACGTATTAGAGGCATCACAATATTGACAATTTGTACATGATAAATACACTTGTCACCTATTCATACGCCTCTATATGAGAAATAACCCCAACAAAAAAAAAAAAAAAAAAATTGTATGGACTTTTATGTTTGAAGTAACAACGCATGAAACAATAGAAATGATGGTTTATATAAAAGTGTACTTATGCAATTAATTTTCCTTCCATTTCTACTAAAGTGTGGGTACGTATTTATTTGTGTGTGATAGATTTTTGACGCACGTCGAACCTACTCTGAATCGAACTGACAACGACGTCAGTCAGGTGAACCCGCTCGAGTTGTGGGCGGCCGGTATTCAAATGGGTATGTACCTTTGTTTTTTCTGTACTACCAGTAAAGCCTCAACTGTCCTATCGACGGCTACCGATATTTCTATTGTTGTAAAATTAAAATATTAACAACTGTTCGTCAAAATCATTGATACCAATGTTTCCTATTTTCAAGTGGCAAATAAATCGACAACTAAAACCTAAACAAGTCGTTCAAAAGGCATCAACTTCAAGGGTTAATCCTTCTTTACAAAATACAAATTTATTTTTCCAGTCGTAGACATAGGTATTACCCAGTCTGGAATTATAAAATGAGATTTGGTATTCTGACGAGAAAGACGTGTATCCTATCACGTACTTGAAAAACATATTAGTAACTTACTTTTGATTGAAGCAATGTATTTTCACATTGTCACAGCACAGATGGCAAATGTAACGCTTCTCCGTCTACACATGATGATATGAGAGGCAAAATCTTTCTCCAACTCGTACTACTGTAGGTTTTAACAATAACGATTAACTAGGGCGAATAAACTAAGTTAGAGTTCTACTCTATAAGAAAACGCTAAAAACTCCCATTTTTGTACTATAGTAATGTACCGTTTTTTACGAAAGATGACCCAACGATTACGTGTGGCTCCGTTCAACTGACGTTCAATGCGTCGGTTTCTACAATCGTCCTGGATAGCAAAAAGTTTATAGCTAAATGCGCTATAAACGGCGAGTGTTGAAAACGTCTCCAAGATCAATGCCGATGGCGAACAGCAGCCTGTGCCCCAGGGAGTGTCCCTATTAAAAATACAATACAGTAAATATCAGGCAGTAGGCAATCCACCTTCCGCTAGCTGGTTAAGGGATGAGATCTGTCCGTATTGAAATGGGCCGCCTCCACTATCGACGGAGTTAGGCTGTCAAATGGTACAAAAAGCTACAAAAGAAAAACATAGATTGACGTGACGTAAATAATTTAATTTTAACGACTGCGCTAACTCGGATCCAAATAACATGCAAAGTTATAACTTCACGAACCCAAAAACTTATAACGCTCCAATAGTTTAAATCACAAAGGGCGAAAAACAACAGGATATATCTTTCCGTGGATAACCGGTATTTTCATTATATATAACCCACTGAAACGATAACAAGAAAACAAATTCATATTGAAATAGAACTTGTCGTCAGGTCGTAAAATGAACTAAGCCAACATCACCTCGAATAGAGGAAAATAGGCTTTTGATTTTTGGCCGACTTTCGGGCTAGAGTGCTTCATAGTTTCCCTCTATAGAGTCTTCTGTTCGGCTATCACTACGGAAACTGTGAAGTGCGTGAACTTAATCTCGTAGCTATGTGTCCCTCCACTGACATTGTTGGCATTTTTCCTTTCACAGAAAACATCTCTTCTTTCCAAGCTAGGGTTTTATCGATTTGATGTTTCAGGTGATGGCCTTATTGTGTAGATAGATACTTTCTTGTGGAACTTGGAATATAGAAGGAATCATCGAAGACTTACCGAATCGGGAATGGACCATTCTGTGGCTCAAACGGGCTCCTGCTAGCATCTTAACTGTTTCCTCCAGGACAATACTTTCGCTGCCAACACGACGCATCTCTTCGGTGCAGTTGTAAATGTAACGCTTCCGCAGAAGTGAGTGCAAATAGATTGCTTGATCAGATCACCTGGTAACATTATCATGGTACCAAGAAGGTCAACTGGTCGCTAAGAGCTATTTTGCACGATGCACGATTTAGGCATAAAGGTATCGGGCGATATCATATGTGTGTAACACAGTCAAGAACGTGTCGCCGGTCTGTCATGCTACGCTATAGCCTTGCCCAAGCGTGCCTATTTGATAAACAGCGAAAAGCTGTGCGATATCGCAATGCATTGTACATGTCCTCACTGTTTTAACAGGATCCGTTATGATGTCTGTTCAACAGATTCTGCGTTAGAACGTTACCTGTAATGTGGGTAATTATTCGGTTGGTGCTTACGTTGACAGGAATGAGCATTGTCAACTACCATTGCAGTTTACTCCCCGTTCATTTTTGGTTGACGTGTTGATAGGATGCTTATTATTAAGGACACAGTTTATGTCAGCTTCACCGGCCGGTTGAGGTACCTTCGACATTGTATTTCTGAACGCAACTCTCGGCCTTACTCGCATCGGTGTATTTGCCGTCACTTTTAATTGTCGAACTTTTCGAAGCAGTCAAGCCGCTTAGCTCGTTAGGTCGCGCGGCACGGGCTTTTTTTTTTATGTCCGCATCACACTGCCTAGGGACATATATTTAACGCTATTTTGAAAAGGTAAGAACGATTCACAGTGATCGCACTTTGGGCAGACTATCGCGCTGTCTTCTACAAACCAAGAAAATCATGGAACCGAATTAGTGATCCATTTAATCACAATCCGCCAAGAAGCTATCCTATAAACTTCACGTGTATATACGTTATTATTAGTGAAACAGATGCCTATTATCACAAAGCTGTTTCCAAGCAAGGCAAATGCGGCCGAGGTCATATAAATGAAAATAGTCAGTAATTTTAAAAACGTATCAGACTCCACCTATGATCTTTTAAATAAGCTGGGCGCACAAACGTTCAGACGTAGAGAATATTCGAGATAGAATGTTTTTTCAGTAGCTATTAACAGCAAGTCAGTGCGTACCAGACAGCCTTACGTGACACATACGCATCCCAGGCTAGGCAAGAAAGACACGCGTACGTCATCGCCATTTTTTTCATTTGGCCGATTTTTACGTACTAATTGAACAGCTTCCCAGTCTTTTTGAGTCGTGTTTTTTTTGCCGGTAGCTTTTTTGGGCGTTGCTAGCCCGCTTTGAAGACGCATTGTCTCTAGAGCGGGCACTTTGTTTTTGTCGTAACGAAAAATATCCTCAAAGTTTTCGATGTCTTCAAGTGTTGCACTTTTAGTATGATATTCGTCGGTTAAGTTCGACCTTAAGTTTCTAAATCTAATATCGCCCTCCGGCGGGTTTGCGAATGTTTCGTAGAAGTTACGTTCATAACGGTCGAAATCTGTCGTAGCTATTCCCATATGTTATTCACTTTGAGAAGGAGTAATTCGAGGCGGCGTAGGCTGGTCCGCCATAAGATACAGCCGTGCAATCACGGTAAGCGCCCTAACCAGAGAAGACCGCAAGGACAGTACGTTGATGAATACGCCTCTTGCTAGCTACAATAATTTCTAACAAGTCTGCAGTTGAATTGAACCGGAACGTTTTCATTACGTAGACATACGAAGTATTGACAATATTGTACGTCTAAGGCTGTGGATACGTTCATTTTTAAACCCAGATAATCGTGGAGCCACCTCATTTTCGAGACGAAATAAAATCACTGGGGATTCCTGATTTAGATAGGAATAGAAACTGGAGAATACTAGAAAGATAAAGGAGCGTCGAAAAAAAGCAGGTTCGAGGACGCAACAACTTGTTGTCATTCCCATTGGACCGTACTCGAATTTACTTGACTGAGCCATATTATTTTGAACGGTATTGCACGAGTAAATTTGGTGTACCACATAGATAAATACGAGGCCTCCCGCCGATGAAGTTCCTGCTATGATATTCAAACACTGAAAGTCATTGTTCATCATCGAACACACCTTTCTTATTGATTTGAAAATAAGCGCTAATGGATCGTTTCATTGACCCAAGCATCTCGAACGCCAGTCTAATGATGTGTCCGTTGAATGAAATAAATTAGCTAGAGAACAGAGAGGGCCTTCGAAAATTGAAATGTTGAAATTTTATTGAAAATATATACAAATACATTGGGCATGCGCATTAGCTGAACCCGTTATTCGCGACAAGGTTTAGCTAGGAACTCTTCCTTTGATTCCATATCTACTTATCGTTAAATACTGTATATCCTTTCAGTTTATGAATTCAAAGTCAATTTGAAACCATTTATATAGTAACTTGTCTGTGTCTGTCAAATAGCAATCATCGATTTGCAATTTTTTATTGAACTCGACCATGTCAAAGGGTCTCTTCTTCGACACGCTAGTACGACCGATAAAAACCCTCCCCTTTTGACGAGGCCATTTATTTCAATGGCCAGGGATTATTCATTGCCCCCCAATGATTAACAACGGGATTGTCAAGACACAGATGATCTATTTTGTAACCTTTGTGCGTCAGCTCGTACACCTCAACCGTCTGAACCGTTGTTCCCTTCGAAGTAAGCGACACTCACCTGAGGATCATTTTTCGTGGCTCTCTTTACGGATGGATCATTGTGGTCAGTTTGACCCATGCTTGGTGTTGGTAGCAGCTAAGTATTGAAACTCCTACGAATCATATTCTGAGCATGTCGTGCTGAAATTTAGTCCTGCTTTATCCCTGTCTTGTAAACGAAGTAATGGTCAGCGTCGTATATTTACTGAAAATAATTATCTGCAATCCAGTTTTGTGAGGTCAGCCGTTTTCCAAGTAGAGTACGAAAATGAATATAAGCCATCCTTACTGGATTGCGGGTTACCAAATCGCGCGATATACAGAGGGTCAAACCAGGACAGAAAAGGTTTCGTTGAACCTGCGCGCTCGTATGACAGTCTCACTCTCTGAGTTTTAGCTCTCGTGCCATTGGGAATGCCATTTTGTGCTGGCAATTCGCAACCGATCCCAGTTAGGACAAACAGGTCTAGGCATTATCTATTTTCTTTACCCATTTATTACCTAATTTAATGTTAAAAACTTCAATAATCTTGACCTGAAGTGTAAATCCGTGCTATCAAATCGACTTCGGTTTTGCTGCGAGTGATACTAGCCCTATGTGTCGTATTCAGCACGCTCTCGACGGTGGTCGTAGGTTATCGGGCGGTAGGGAGGACAACGCGGCACAAAATAGGTTTCCCAGCTGACTAACCGCTCTACTAAAATAATGATACCGAATCTATGGTTGTCTCCTCAGCCCCCGTGGGAGGCAATCAATATCTAAAGGAGCTATAAACAAGATGCGCCGCTTGTAAACTATCCTTGTTTAGCTATTACCATGCACTCTGTCATGTGTAAATAATAAATGGTCTTCTCATTATCATCACAGGACTCAAGCACACAAATATCGTGGACACTGTCGTACGATCCATCCACGACATATGAGTCTTTTTTAGACCGATATCTTCATCAAAATCTAGGTGCGATTGAATCTTTTAGGACGAAGTAATGACGGTAGATTTGTTGTATTGGCATATATTGTCACAGAAATGAAGGTGTAATGTTTTTTCTCCAGAAGAAGATGCGGGGACTTCTTGCCAGTATATCACAGTTGCTTTAAATTGAGTTTGGTATTGATGAAAGCTACCATGACAAATTAGTGGCGCGCTTTACACGAGTACTTTACATACGTTACTAACTGTATGTAACGTACTGATTCATAGTTGACTATGTCTATTAACAGGGATTGAACGCTATAGCACTGCATATAACTATTTGCTGATGTGTATTTTTTCAGACAGTAAAAACATTATTGAGCTAAGGAAGAACGATACATAATTTGTGTATAGCGAAGATGCCATTGTCGACTAACAGCAATACCAAAAACGTTAACAATTTACATGATACTGTATTTCAGTGGCGACAAATTTTCAGGCATCGTGTGCTCCCATAGACATTTATCGAGGCTGGTTTTCGCAAAACGGCCGTTGCGGATATGTCCTTAAGCCGTCCTGTCTGCGACAACCATGGACTGCATTCAACGCCTTCAAAAAGGAAATTATTAGTGACACTGAACCTATGTACCTGAGGATTAAGCTTATTTCCGGTTCGTACGATGTGCTATATCTCTATCAGTATATACATTTACACACAACGTATTCGATAGCGCAAATTTTCTGGCGATCTTATCTGGTTGCCTTCAATGAAATTTACTGATATTTTATATTCTGCATTATATATACGTTTTGTCGTTAACATAGCTTAATTGGATAAGAATGGTAACATCAATGCTATCTTACTTAGCATAGACTAAAACAATAGTTACACTCATAATAATGATGGTTGCAGGTCAACAACTTCCATTGCCTCGTGGCGCATCAGTGAAAGCTAGCTCTATCGACCCATACGTTCTACTCCAAGTGTTTGGTATTCCGGCTGACTGCGCGGAGGCGCGGACCAAAACAGTCTCCAACGAGGGACAAAGCCCAATTTTCGATGAAAGCTTCGAATTCACAATTTCCGCGCCGCAGCTCGCCGTTCTGAGGCTGACTGTTCTCGATGATGATTTCATTGGTAGGTTTTTGTCTTGCTAGTAATTTTCAATTCATTTTAAATCCTACCAGTTCTCGAAAAAAGGAAACTCACCTTTTCGTCCTACCTAATAACGCTATACCTTAAATTATGCATGGACACCCTCGACCTTTCCAACATTAAGCAGGTTCGTCCGCAAACGAACCTGATCAGATACCTGCATTATTTCTTTTCTATTTATTGGAATCATTTTCATTCAATGTTTGACGTCTAAATTAGACGTAGAAGAGTTTCCAGTTCAATCTGTGAAAGTCTTCCAGATTGCCGAAGGTCATTGTAACGCAAGAAGGAAATTGTTCTGTATACTATGTTTGTTGTTTCCCTCAATTTGTTTATTCAATTCCAGCATTTAGGTCGACTTATGATCTACCAAACGTTTCGAGCTTGACGTCCGGTATTTCCCTCAGACACTGAATCAGGCAGCTGGTTCTTAGCACGAAACGGAGATTCTGAACTTGTATCACTGCTTGTCCCTCCAGATCTCATTAGATCTTTTGAGGTGTTTATCTGGCAAGTTACCAGGACCTAACTATTCTTTTTTAAGCTGAATATATCGTAATTGTTTCCGGTTTCATATCCGGTGTAAATCCCGTGGAAAAATAAGGTTTCCATGCAAGCGGCGATATGCACTTTAAGTTATGTAAGTGTACAAGTTCCCAAAATTAATTTTCGACTTATCTTACAGAATCAATCTCGTACTTAGCAAAATACGTTATGTGCGCAACTAGATACAAACGCAAGACTAGGTCAGCGTAGAGGAAGGGAACAATGCGGATATTAAACAAGCAATTTGTAACAATCCGCACAAGATATTTGGCAAAGTCAAACGTCATTATGCTTTTACTCTAACTTGTTAGTTTCAAGTTCATGAGCATTTACCATCGCTTATATGCCATGTTTCTATCAAAGCACACTTGTACCAATACACATTTGTATCAGTGTTTCGTTAAAAAAGTCCAAAAAAAAAAGTAAGTATGGCAATACATTTTTTTTTCAAAAATAAACGTTTAGAGAACGGTCGAAAATCCGCGCGAAAAACGGTATTAGAGATATCCCAAGGATTTCCTTTATCGAAAAGAACATTCCTAATTTTTCACGTCTTATAGTTTTACCTTTTTCAGATATAGTTGCGCCGTTTTACAAGTAGCGAAAGGATCTCATTTGATTTGTCCTTTCCAACTCAACCTGCAGGAGACGACTTTATCGGCCAACGCTCGCTGCCAGTATCTAGCCTTCGTCCGGGTTATCGGCACGTGACACTCTTGGCAGATTCCGGCCACCCACTGTTGCATGCCACACTATTCGTGCACGTTACTATGTGCAACCGTTCATCGAGTGATAAGAAACTTCGACGAAAGAGGTAGGCAACAGAGGAAGGTTGAAGTACAGCTCTAGTATAAATTCTATTTCATTGATCTTGTTGTTCCTTCATATACCTTTAGTTGGAGCACGAATGGCTATTTTTCGAAAAGAACAGTCACTCATTGTCGAGTAACGAATCTCCCGTAGGTCGTGGCAAACGAAAATGGCGTCAGGCGGTGGAGCAAGCGATCTTCGACCAACCGGACTTAAACCAGTCGACGAGACCTGTCGTAACGGAACAGCGTTGCTCACCGAATGTGCTAAACTTAAAGCAGCACTCGACAAGTACGTGCAGAACAATTAGCGTTGATTTAGCTCCAAATATTCCTTTATTAGCTGAATGTTATAATACTAAGGGCAATGCACGTAAAAGATAGCACATCTGCTTATCTTGCTTAGCGAGTGCACACTAGCCCATATTTTTTGTGGTAATAACATACAAAACTATATCAGAAGCTTAATAGCAGTCGAAATCCCCTTACGATAGATTTCTTGATCTACTGGGTCAATAGTGCAGATTTTCCAAAAGCAAAAATTGACTAGACAAATAATGACTATCGAGTTTACCTGATTCACTTATAAATATTTTATATTACGATAGTTCTTTTTAATCATGAGTCATATGCACTATTTATCATATATAACACCTATAATCACAGTGTGGTTGCTGATTGTGCGTAGGGCAATGATTGAGCTTTGCGAGGAGTGCGGCTTACCGACAAGCTCTAATCTGGCACAGTGTCTTCGGGTATTGGTCCAAAGGGTGGCGGGGTGTCCAGACATCACCTCGTTTGGCCTGGACACCTCTGGAGAGTTTCCAGAGGTCCGTATACAAGGCGAGCCGTCCGGGTCCAAGTCGGCCAAGTGCCTACAGTGTTTCGAGCGCGTCCTACAGGAATGCACATATATGATACAGAACGGGCAGCATTTGAGCGATGGACTCAAAGATCTATACAATAACATTCAGCTACATGCTACAGAGTTACCCTCGTTATGCTCATCGCAGAAGAGCAAAAAAGCTGATAAAGCGGCTGAGAGTTTTATCTGGAATGCGGCATTCATAGAGTCTCGCATTGAAACAGTCGCATCGCTCACTCACGAGTGCCAAACCTACCTCAATCAAGTGAGCTAATCTTCCTCTAATGTATAAAGTGCTTAACTCTTTGAACGAAGAGCCCCGGCACTTTTGTCGTTAGGTATGCCTTTATTGTACTTATGGAGCAACTATATTCTTGCCCAAAACTTCAGCCCGATTGTACACATAAACTGCACATATTCTTACGGTTTAAGGCAGCTAGACATGTCAAATGTATGTGCTATAGCATTTCCCTTCCCTACATATTCGCACTCTTTCTGGCTTCTTCGTGACTAACCTGAGTACACGGTCGTGTCTGTTTTAAACGATCTGTCGTCTACTCTCAGATCACCCGGTTGCGCGGTGCCGTCGAACGTATCTTCGTGCGGGAAAAGAACCTTTTGCAGACCTCAGCAACTTCAACAGCTGCGGGAACGGGTAGCGGAAACAGTCAATCCGGCGGCCCTGGACGGACTCGAACGTCATCGTCGCTATCGATCACGCCCCCTGTGCAGTTGAGTTCATCGGCGCCTGCCACACCTCCGCCAGTCTCGCCTGGTCCAGACCATCCAAGCACCACAAGGCCTGGGGCCCCACCCTACAAGAAAGGTATTCTTAAAAAGCCCTCTTCGCCTATTCAGATCAGCCAACAGGACCTAGCTACCAGTCTGTGACGACACGATTGCAGGCCGCCATCACGAGCGGCGTGCTTATGCCAACAACAGCAGTTAGATTATGATCATCAACAACTGCCGCCGCAGCAGGAATTAAAAGAGGAACGTAAACGAAGCACAAGTTTAGGTGAGGGCGAAGCACAGAATGACGCTGCGTCAGTTGTTTATCGAAAGCAATTGTTAGTGCACGACAGTCGAAAGCGCCAGCTGCAGAAGTCGGGGCTTGCCCTTAAAAAACAATCCCGGCCACAGTCTTCGATGAGGTCCAGGACCGCATCGCTATTACCAACAGCCTCAATATCATCGTCCACGCAGCTAAAGACTTCATCATCTAATGGGCCAATCATTGTAACAACCGTTTAACGATCACTAACGGATAACCGTGACAACTACAGTTTGTACGCGAAGCTAAAAATCCCGTTCAAGAAAATGAAGCCAACGTAATATGCACAACTGGCATGGCGCTTACGAAGATCTTAAGAGAATCAGTCATGGTAAACTAATTGAATTAGTTATTATTCTTTATAATAACCGTTCTTTATTTGTTTTGTGTTTGTCGAGTAACGGATTTCCTAAATATGGGGATAGTAAAACATTAGAAACGATTCTTAGTGATTTAACGGTACACTCTCTGTCGGTTTAACAATAAGTTACACCGCACGTATGAGCATTTAACAAGGAGTAAATGAGCAAGTGACTTTTTTTTTATAATTAGCTGGAAAAGCTCACAACGTAATACGGAATAATGCGGTCATAGCAAAAAAATTTGATCACTGCTAGTAGGAAGTTTAGGCTTTTCAGAACATTTCGTATGGAATATGAAATGTTCTGTATGAATGTACATGCAAAATTTGCACGTAATCTATAAAATGCATTAAATTTAAGGAGTCGTGCAACAAATGTGATCTGTGTCTATCGTCTATACACCATCTCAAATGCTAAATGTCACACTAGTTTCTGTTAGACAACTTGCTACAATCTCGTAATATAATAGAATAAAAATAAAGCTTCTGGCGTGTTGAAGTTTTTCCGGATAACGCAATAAAGTCTGCCGTCGTCGCTTCATCATTATTGTCCACAAGTTCAGATGCTGAATAAGATAAATGTTAAATAGTACACAATTAAGTTACTAAGATTTAGGTGATAGAATGATTAGAGCGGATTTTTCTATGGATCGACCTAAACGATCCAAGATTCCTTGGATAATATATAAATAAATTAAACTTATCGTGAAAAAACATAAAATGGTACATTATCTATCGACGTTTTACTGCTAGCGCTATTCGGGGTTCGATTAAAGTGAAGAGAACTGGTTTCATGCTGCACGATAACTGCTTTGAGAGGTACGGCCTTTGAGAGACACTGGTGTGAAACGTTGCTTTAAACGGGATTTCATCTTTCAGAAGAGGGACTGATTACCCGCCTCTAGCAGATAAGCCGATAAACCTTAGTGATTGATCCGGCCCTGGCCAGTGCGTTCTGGCCTGCGCGTCCTGCAGCCAATTGCGTTCCAAACCTGTCTGACTATGCTTACTTGACAAATACATGTGATGTAGTCTTTTGTCAAAGGCCAAACGATCACCAAAGTCTGACTGTCGCAGTTAATCACGGTAGAGGCTATCACTCTAGAATTATTGTTACTAAGATTATTATTACTATAATCATTATAATTACTGCAATTATTGATATATTATTGTGAACAATAATAGATACGATTAATATGATTATATACAAAATGTTATTTAAAGTCCCAAGCGCAGATATTGATGCAGATGTGTGGCGCATTCAGGGTCTGATATACTGTAACAAAAATGTGATACGTAAATTGACGAGATTGGTAATGATAAACAGTAGAAACAAAAGTAAGGAAGAGATACAAAGCAATTAAAGCCGCAGATGTCCAGTGCTATCAACAGAATGCGACGTAATAGTGCATGTCATCTACTACGTTTTTTACAAACTGTTGTTGTTGTTGTTGTCGAGGAGTACGGACAATATCTATTATATATATATATATATATATATATATAGAGAGAGAGAGAGAGAGAGAGAGAGAGAGGGGGGATATATTCCGTATCTATAAAAAAGGATGAAATATCACAATTACACCGCATAATAGATGGCGAGAGCGACAGCATAAAGTGATTCATCTATATGACACAACTGTCTAACGTTTAAATTAGACCTAATTAAAAATCAATTAATATATATATATACATATATATATATATATATATATATAGGTAGCTCGTAGATACGTGCACAACGTCTCTGAAGAACAATAACTAATAACCCAGTTATTTAAGCGAGAACCAATGTTGGCTATGAGAATTGTTGGTAGCAGCTTTAATAGCAAGATTGATAACAGCACTAGAATATAGAACAGAAGAGATCTATGACATGTATTTATATCATTGATTTATACCATCCATGGGACGTTTTGCTGAACGAACGAACAAATCGAAGGTAAATGGTAAACTAATGACTTGTCATCATCAGTTGGTAAAATTGAACGTTGGGTAAGCATTTCTCGCTCTTCGATTAACTAGAAACATCGTCACGCATCGTTTTCAGTAAACAGAAAAACACAGTTACCTTTGTCACTTCTATCCTTTTCTGTTGTTACCGTTAACAAGAGATATGTATGTATAAAAAAAAAAAATACTTTCTTTACACATATACAAACTGTTATATCGAATTTATCAGTCATTGATGTAGCAGGTCTTGCTTTCCCTCAGTCCGATACTAAAATAACCGTCCAAGCTTCCGATATGAAGATATCCTTATTAAATGCCCGTTGCCCTCAAATGACGAGCGTGACAAATCGTGACGACCGTTCATCCGTAGCCATAAACGAGAACCGTAAGCAAAGCCATTGCATATAGTTCGAGACTTGATGTTTCCTGTTCGTATGATTATTTTACTATGGTAGGCGATCAAGTGGCAGTAGTTGTCGGGTAGGTGACTTGCCATGTTTGCAGTAAAAGAAAGTGAATGTTCAACTTGACAAAGCTTCTACGAATACAACAGAAGAAAGTCTCGCCAGAGTGCCGCTCCTTTTGTGTGCAAAGTAAATAGATCGGTTGCCAAAATCTAATTAGACATTAATAGCTTTGCATCAATTGCTATTAGGGTAGATGTGTTGCTTTCTGGGGGTCGGCCTAGACCATATCGTTGATACCGTTTGTGAACGCCGCTCCAAATTATGCCGGTTGAAACAGGCCAAGTATATATCTACATACTTCCTATTTCTATAGTAGCATCTATTTTATCTATTTTAGTTATATGCGAGGGTTGATTTATTCCTCTAAAGCGCGCTTTAGTCACCGTTCTAGGCTTTGTCGTCGTTGAGAAGAGGCCGTTCCCGATGAGATGAACATTGTGCCTCTGTAACTTCTAATTGTAATTCTAAAGTAACTTATATTTAAATTGGGCCACTGCTTGTTTGCTTCGCTTAGTGTTTACAGTAGACTATCGTAAAGAAGATATAATATAAACGTAACAAGTTGACAAACCTTATTCTTGATGACGTAATTGCCACCCATTTTGGACATGTAGTATTAGATTACCCATAAGCGCGGATAACGCCTCGGAGATGGTCACTATTAAAGTTATGGATTCGAGTGTTCAGGCTATATCGTGCCTATTGAACTTTAGAGTTGCCTTAAGCAGATCTTAAAAGCAAACAGTAGTTCATTCAGTGATATATACATTGCAGTGGATACTTCTGACATTGATTCTGTTTAGAGAGGCCCTTTTCCCTGTGCCGTTCATCGAATCATCGCTTTTCGTCAGCATCGCTAAACCTGAAAAGATGTTTGTCATAAAATATATAGATGTATGGACGATTTGAATCATCATTTGTCCTTTATTTCCTAACCTAGAGAAATTATCGTCGTAGTTACATTGTCACGATAACAACAAAAACACACACAGACTGCTGATACAGGAAAGGTAATATACATAAGAAGATACGTGACGGATATCCTAATCAAGATCACCATCGTTATTTCTGCCTTCGTTAGAACAGTGGTGTACAGCACTAGCTACAAATTTAATGTGTGATAGCAAATTTATATCTGTAACTCCCCGTCGCATGTATGTTACACGAGTTGAAAAATTGAAAAATACAAATGTCGAAAATAAACACGTGCTCCGAGTGGTCAAAGCACGTGCTATATATACACATATATAAATTTGCTAGTAAAAATAATGAAAGAAGTTTATGCTGTCGCGGCTAGCGGCCCCGTTTAAAAAAGCTGTGTATTATGTTATGGCATTGCCACAGCATCTGTTCAATGGATATAACTTTTAGAGAAGCTAGAATTCACCGAAGAACGATTAAAATCCGATGATTTTTCGCGTTGGTCGATGTCAGCTAACGTAAACGAGTATAGATAGGCTTTATCAGTCTCGATCCGAATAATGAACAGCTGACAGCTTTACACACAAACTTCTACAGTTGTAGAAATCAACTTGTACACAATCATGTTTGACTCGTCCCACTCAATCCCGTTCCTATCTCAACTTCCTGCTTTCAAGCGCCAACTTTCTGCTACCCACAGCAGTTTTCTTGTAAACACAAAATGAAAACATATTCCCGTTTCTTATCGGGCAAATAGTAATATTCAATATTCTAGAGGGCTTACCGCCAATATTCAAATATTTACCCATTCCAGAACTGGATTCGTACAGAGATTTTTTTGCTGCTATGAAACATGGTTTTCCGTTATCTCAATAGAATACATTTTGCGCCATACATACACATGGACAACGAATTTCAGATGGTAAAACAGCAGGTAAATTTACTATAAGAAATTTACCGAGCCATATTGATGTTATAATATCGAATATTTAATAGTCGTTACGGCTGCTTAGCTATACACTAACAACAATCTTGTTACGTTATATATATAGGACACAACCGTTACTACTATAGGCTTTAGGCGCTGTAAATACCAACTGCAGTAGCTAGCTATAGGCTGTCCTGTAATAAAGAGGTTTTTCATGCAATAAAAATCAGAGTCGAGCGTATATAATAATAATGGTGATATTGGTACTTGTGAAAGGCATGCGTAGGGAGCACTGCCGTGTCACGTATACCGGCGAGGCAGTTGACGGCTCTCCAATTCAAAGCTAGTGCCATATGATAAGTAATAGCAAACACCTAGCATATATAAGCCTGTTAAGCTCTACAAACATACCTTATATATATAGATAAATTCTAGCGGCATCATTATACTAGTCATATTGATCACCGAATCAATGGTGTAACTTGGTGACGAACTGGCATTGATGATGAAAATAAATAACCCATCAACGGAAATAAAAACTATTAGAGACACACTGAAGAGTTTGACCGCTACCGCCAGCAAGTTAAGCTTAGTTAAGGAATGATCATTAATGATGACGGCACCGGCAGCTGTAAATACATAGAGCCTTCAAACGTACTACTACGTTTACTACCATGGACACAGAAGCCGATACACCGACAAATACGTGCACAGGTGATACATGGCTACGAAGATATAGAAAGTAGGACGAACGCCGGCAGCAGTTAAAAAAGAGAGTAATAAATTGTCCATGAGAATGTACCGATTATCGTTTTTACGTTAATTATTATGTTGGTTATACGCGTAAATAGGAACCCGAAGGACGGGAGAAATCCCCGGGACGACTAGAATCGTTCGCGCTGGCGTCTGATTCTTAGCCTATGGCTGCTCCGCATTGAGGGTAACTGAAGGGTATGAGCATCTTCAAAATGTTTACACATTTCCAGTCACGGTTAACAGGAATAGAAAGTACTTGATTGAGCAACGGGGAGAGCTCGTGCAAACAAACAGTGTTTCCATACCGCAATCTCCTACGAATGCTACTGATCCGTATGACTCATTGTCTTCTGCGTCGGGAACAATTAAACATTAGCTAGCTCATAGCGATTCGTCCCATATAGTGCCCAAGCGACTCATAATTCTAAAATGAAACCCATACAGTCAATGTTTGCCAGTGACAATGATATAATCGAATGTTTCTCGTTATACAACCTAGACGTTTTGACCAAGAGCAAGGACCTACGCTCAAACTATGCCCAGAAGAGCTATTAAGCCCTTCTGTAATAGTAGAGTAAAAATAATCTGAATTCTGTGCTTCCCGTTTCGCGGAAAATTTCAAAATGATTTTACCATTTTTCCTTCGTAATTCTCGCTAATTACATTTCGTCATTTGATTGCGACACCGTTTGTGCTGGTCGGCGTAAACACCCGATCCGCCTTTGGAACCAGACTATTATTAGGACTAGCAATTTCGCTTGCTATACGGAGGAGCATTCAAGCATACCTGCTACTGCTGCTTTCAGTGTTGCCAACCTGCATCGAACTCGGTACCTATACACATAGTAATTATGTTGGTACCACACCGAACGCGAACATGTGTTCGCTCGTTGCGCCCACTTCTATAACGTAACCAACTCTATGGCAATTTAAATGGGATAATTTTAAATTGCAGAATGCCCGTTGCGTGACGAAATACGCCGCTCCCCAATGCTACAACCCCCTCATCTATCCAATGGCGTTGAAACTAAGCACAGAACTGATCACAGAAACCACACAGGCGCTTCGAGTAACGCTTTCTAAACATCGTTGTAGTTGTTGAAGGCATTACATAACGATATTAAATAAGAGTTTGCCTTTTATGCTTGTCTTGATCATCACTCGAGCGCGACAAGATCGGACGATACCTGGGCATTAGTGAAACAAAGCAATCTAACCCAGCATGCATAGTCACGAATTTTATTCCATGGTCTTCATGGTCTCTCTATCAGAACGCAGAGACACCGAAAAGGAAGACGACGTATTCGTTCCTCTGGATGAATCAGTAGAAACTCAATGCGATCGGATCTCTAGCATGAACAAACGTAGACAACTTTGTTGAGCAATAATAATCTGTTGCCGGAAGCTAAAAGACAGCGAATAATCTAAGCTTTGACAAATGAGGGCTGGCCAAGCACAGAACAGAAAGCATCTGCAAGCGCTCGACAAGTAGAAACAGCTATCTAGATAATTCAGAAAGGGTAACGATGTAATATAGCCAGTTTCCAAACAACAAAGGTCTGTACATAATACGTAAATGGGTATCGATCTGCTGATTTTTTTTAGCAACACAGCGACGGGAAGATATCTTTATAATGGGTTCTGGTGCAAAATATGAAGTTTTCGCATGCTCTGACCGCTACGTCCCCGTTAGTTCTCTATCTCTCTCCTTTTGCGGAAAGAAAGCTCCGAGGGCAAGCTGAGTGAGATGGGTATTCGTTGAAAAATCAGTTAGCAGGGCCGTTCTCATGGGATATATAAAGTGTGGCGCATCCAGAGACGATGATCAAGCGACATCGGTTATTCACAAGAGGCAAAAATAAAAGGATACTGCCCTCAAGATGAACGTAGGCATTACGGTAAGCTAGCTAAAATGTTTAGTCCTTTATCGTTGTATTGCATTCAAACCAGCTCGAACAAAGAGAGTTGGGCATTTACTTATAACTGTGTCACTTATTGAATCCAATTGATCGTAAACGCTGAAAATAAGAAATGTTTACCTATGAATTATCGCTCAGTTCATATTCATGACGGGAGGCGTCAGTTAGTTCCTTTCCGCTAAATAGCGTGTATCCGTTTCTTTCTATGGTTTGCTACAGTTGACTTGCATTGGCGTGCTTTTCATCGGAGTTGCTTTGGCCCAAGAGACACTGAAGCCTGAAGCTCGGCCAGCACAGGCTGTACAGCTGGCACCAAGACCGCAGGCAGTACCTTCTGACGCTTCGGGACCCATCAGCAGAAATCTACGTGCAGGACGTGCAAAGCGATCGTTTTATGGTTTTGGTTATGGCTTAGGATATGGTTATGGTTTAGGCTACGGATACCCTTACGGCTATGGTTACGGTTACGGCTATCCATACGGGCCCTATGGCGTCTATGGTGAATTCTATGGGGGCTTCTACCCTCGATACTACGGCGCGTGGTGGTAGGCCAGTTATGTAAGGGACCGTCGACTAGTCCGATATATAGTCCTGAGTTTGAAAAAAAAAAATTAGAAAGTGAACGTTTGTTCCAAATTTAAAACCGATGAGGTCGATTGGCAAGCTGAAGCCTTTTTCTCTACTATTGAAGTGTGTATATCATTGTTGAGTTGAACAAATCATAAGCGAATTACTGATAAATCGATCATATTTTATCTATTATATTTACTGCGAGCTATGTTTCAGCTGCCCGCTGCTTAATTTCAATTTAAGTAACTACTTCAGCAGAACCTTATGAGCAATTTCAGCGTAGGAAATGCAGTACAGCTGGGTTCAGAGCTAAAACGTGGACAGGTTACAAGTTTGTACGTTTCACCGTGTTGGTTTATTCTACGAATTCAGAGTTATTGATTTACGAAAAAGTATGTTAATCTATACAGACCGTACTAGAGCTGACTGAGGCTGCAAAAAGAATTGCTAAAATTAAACAGTTGGCTATTCTAACCGAACTTATTGCCATAATAATCCTATAGGATTCCCGGCTGCAAGCTCTAATATCACTGTTATGATAAATACGCCTCTGGGTCTCGTTAACGAACAAATAAAAAGATAAGCTAAATTGAGTTTGAATCTTCCATATTTGTTCCGCGATTGTATGTGATGACAAACAGTGAGCCTGAAAGGCAATGAAGCGACGCAACGACGTACAGCGAGTACAGATGCCTCTAGTGTGTTGGATACAGCATCTAGGTTTAGAACGCTTGCGTGACTGCTTTTCACGCGACATCTCCTTTTTTCCAATTTGAGCCCTTGTTCCTGCTTACATGTTGCCCCGTCTAGGGCAATGACTTCTTGCATTGCACAATCGCGCATTGACCATCGTTACGGCCAGATATATCTAGTAGAAGACGTACGAAAGAATCGTTTGCAAAGTTAAAGAGCTCGACCCATTTGTAGTTAGCTTAAATTTCTGTTGTTTTTAAAGAAAAACGTTACAGTAAAGGGAAGTGAATATGTGTGTATGTTAAGCACAGCATATTTGTTGCAGCAGCAACTGTTGATATCTCAGCTTTCGTTATCCTGCCAGAATTTAGTTCTGTATTGTTACACTCAGATATTCCATTGAGGTTCCTCATTTGTGTTGTAAGTCAAGAATATAGCCGACTTTCAAATACGAACTTAATAGACCAAAACCAAAATGAAGTCTGCCTGGTCACTGGCAGTATTTACAATTCCCTATAAAGACTCTATATAGCTTTTGTATTACATTGTTTGAATAAACATGATTCAACTACAAAGCTGTCATTTAGAATAGTTCCTTACTTATGCACGCGCAGCAAAAAAACTAACAAAGCAGCGGACCTTGAGTTTTTCAGGTTCATCAAGTTTGACCCTACGTAAAGTATAATTATATTCCTCAAAATAGTAATTACTAGTCACCACTAATATCGGCTGCCATATGGCGTTGTCAGTGCCGTGCACGGATCGGTTTCGTTGTATAATTTGCCTTTATCCATTACGCTTGCATATTCGCCTCAAGCAAAGGGATTGTCAAATAGTTACCTAGCTTTTCTGTTAGTTGCCTTACCTAGTATCGCTCTAAATGTCTTTGTCACTTTTCAGATTGTAACTTCTCCACGGAAACTGTAACTTATGTTTTGGCATAATCTGAGCATTGTTTTGGTCCAGGTACTAAGGCTGGCAGCTATATGTATTCGTCGAGAATTTCGAGTTCTAATCTCTAAAAGAAACAGATTTTGTTTACAACCCTCAAATAAGTTTTTATCCAAAAGAGTACCCATTGAAGCAATAGCGGCTCATAACATTACGAAACTTTCTTCCATTCGGAACCGGTTTACCTGAACATAGGCTGCCTTCTACTAGCCTAATCTCCTAGAAAAAAAAAAAGCCAAACTATCTGAAAAGGCCGAAAATAGACTAAAATGAAGTATCACCTGTGCTCGGCAGGTTCTGTTATGTAGAAAAAAAGTGGAATGGCCAAAATAAAGTGTTTAACTTGCTTGATCGAACAGATGGAAAATTGAGACAATTAGTATATAGAACTTCAACTAGCTTCGGACATGCAATTCATGAGAATCCTCTATACTTTTTCTTGTTTTCTCGTCACCTTTCAGAGTGTCGTCAGGACAGGTCGCCTTAAGCTTATAACTTTCTTAAGAATTACAAAATGAACATACATTGCAGATAAGATACATAAGACAGTGTAAAAATGCTTGATTTGTACAGGCTTAAACGGTTTACTTTGGATGATGCTACTCTGAAGTCCTTCGATTTCCCTTATTTATAGCTCTCCCTGCATCGCTATATCTAGCATAGGTCGTTTATCCGTCGTTTGCCATACGTTTCCCACCCGTTAAGAGTGCGTGTTTGGTTTCTGATTGTGTATCTATTAATTTATCAATACGTCGCCATCATACGTCAACTAACGTATGACGTCGTTGTCCTTTGCTTTACCTTTGCTAAAAATGGTAGAATCCATCTATTATAGCCTTGCTCATACTTACATCAAATCTTAGAATTCGGGTGTTCATCCAAAGCAAAAAGCTTATTTTCAGTTTATATATATATTTACACATGCTAACCATTCAAACACAAAAGCGTTACTTAACCTTCGGCAAAGTTTGTTAAGTTCATATAAACTTCATCAGTCAAAGTACTGTATACTATGAAGGAAAAATTTAAGCACTGATAACCTTGTGAAATGTACATGGCCCTAAGACACTACCATAGATTATGTACTCTTAAGCTGACTAGCCGCGGGAGGCTCAAGCAAACAAGTATAATACAGAAGGTTTTTTTAACCTAACTCTTCAGAAACGATAATCTCAATGAAAATGGCAAATAACATTTGTTTTCTACAATCCATATTTATATTGCATATTCTCACATTAAATAATACACATGTATACTGTATATACTTTGCCTTCTGCTCAAAAAATAAGCGTAGAGAAAATGTACCACACGATATTTGCCTCACTGTCATCTTTGCTCCGTCGTCCTGCCATAAACTTAATTAGCTTTCTTAATGTTTTTTGTTTTTGTTAGAATAATCAGAGTCGCCGTGCTAACTTCACTACTTTTTGTTGTTTAACTGGTCTTAGCTATAGATATCGTCTCGGTTTCAATATGACGTCTTGTCAACTACTCTACAGCTCAGTCTCACTTCTAGCTGGATGGAATTCGTAAAATTGACTGATCATAACAAAAGCTTTTCTCATACCGTCTTCAACGGTGGAACTGTTAAATGCTTACAAGCCAACATAGTTATCATGTAGTCACTTTTTAAGCATGACGAGACTGTGTTGGACTCTCTATGAACTATTTGTTACGTTTGGTGCTGGAGCTCTCAGTGTTAGTTCAACACTATAGTTATTTGGCTGAGACCGGCGTCGAGCCATTTTGCGCTATGCACTAAAGTAGCTAGAGAACAGTAACAAAAACAGCCATGCTACGTTTTGAATTTTACGTCCGGTGTCGCCGTTAGGCATAATTCCACCAGACGGCTGCTATCTCTGATCGAATTCAACTTTAAACCACAACGCGCCCTAATAAGTTAGCAAGCAATACGTTACCCATGAAGCTATCAACTCAAACGACTCATACTGCCCTAAAAAAGTTTCTTAGCGCGTATAATATTCCGTTTTTACCCTTCAGTAGTTAGCGGAAGCTGTTTTCAAACAGACGAAATAATTAATAGGATCGTATTGAGTGTACGAGGCACTAATATGTGCAATGTAGGAAGGTATTTCCTTTTAGGTTAGGACTACTTCCAGTCGTTTCATCCTGCATTAATACGACGATAATGACAAGAATCTCTTCTGAATAGAGATGTATTAACAAAAATGTATACAAATCGCGTTAATAATTTTTTAATGATCTATGTTTATCGAGACGTACACGAATCGAAGCTCCTTATCAATCTGTAACGATAAGAAAATTGTGTACGCCTATATTTCTCAAAATGCAATTAAAAGGTCATCATGATTAATGCAATAGGATAGGATATAGTTTGAGAGCACTTTTTCGTTCGTACTAAATACTCATATGAATGTTAAAGGTTTGATTTCCGAAGCAATGTCTTTTTTTTTATTATTGCATTTCTGTCTTAAGTTGGCTTTGGTCAACCCGGAGCGGTACAAGATGTCATCTGGACCACTTCTCAATGCATCTACCGAGAGAACCGGATCACGCAGCTTCTATAAACATCAAAAACTTTATTACAGCTTTGTTTTTATAGATCTAATGTACATCACTAAAAACAAATAATCAAACTTTGAGAACCTTAGTCACATTCATATTTCAAAGTGAAGCAGACGCTGTGTGCGAGGAGAAACACAGTAGAACTAGAAAAATTCGATCTTAATTATCCTGAATGGTCTTTTTATACAATGCTAGAAATAAACATAATAAACACACCTTCGGATGTAAGCTAAAGAAAAAAAGATAAAAGTATTAGGTTAATTTGAAAAGAGCGTAGGCTTCACCAGCAGGGAAGCGACGGGCTTTAAACTTGGCGGGTTCGCTCGTTAATTTTCCTGCATCTTCCGCATTGCTTATTTATTTCCGCTGACGTCATGAAGGGATCAAGCAATCGAGCACGAGATAACAGTCGACTTTCGCCTCTTTCGCTTCTTCTAAGTTTGAACATGAAACGCTCGGGCGGCTAACGGAAATTTTGAACGAAAAATCGTTGTCTCTGTGTGAAGCAGCGACCCCACCCAGCTCGAACATTCGTTGCAGCAATAACAGTTAGCCAATTTAGTAACTTCGCATCGCCCCTAGCGTTGAGGAATTACAAAAAGAAAACGGCGGAGTTCGCATCGCAAATTCTGAAGGAAATTAATGTTATCATCTTTACTTAGCCTTGATGATAATTTCGATATTGCCGAGTCGGGCAACGCATGACTGGCTACTGGTAGAAAAAAAAAAAAGCCGTTTATCTCCTCCGACTTTTTCTTAGAATGTCAGCACAGGGAACACCGGATTAAGCTCAACGAAATCTTAACTTACTTACAGCGACAGGCCTGTGAACGGAACTTTAATTTGAATGCAAAAATCTATAGTAAACCGAAAATATTCATAATGACAGAAAGTTCATCTTAGAGCTACGATAATTATCTTCTTCATTTTATATGGGACTGTCGTTATGTCTGTTTTATCTTTTCATTGGCGATACATGGGTCTTGAATGCCGCCCAGAATCTGTGAATTAAGAATTGATGCCCCCCTCTCCTCAGCTTCTGCCCAGCTCTTGCCACGAAGTTCCTTGAACAGTTCTTAGGAACCGCTTTTAAGAGAGTAACAGTGCCTGCGAAATAATCAGTTTGATATTAAGTTTGGTGTATCCGCAAACGATGAATAAACATAGATAAGTTGTTTAGTAAAGGATGCTAAGCTCAAATCATATCGTTATATATATAACACAGAGTTCAAAGCTGTTTCAAAAAAAAGCAAAATAACATTTTATTTAATTGTCTCTCTTTCTCTGCCTTTAGGTACGGTAATGGAGCGCCTATGTTCCTTTACTATATAATATTAATTGCGGTTAAACATTTAGCATCCGCTCTGGCCTGATCCTGTTTTCGTATACCGAATTTCGTCCTTTTGATGTAAAAAAAAAAAAAAAAAAAAAAAAGAAGTAGTTCTTTTTTTTTTTTCGTATTGCCGCATTAATCGCTCATTACCTAATACACGCTTAACTAAACTCGATCTTGTTTCAGACAAACCTACCAGCGTTCTCTCTTGCCTATTACTGCAATCGATGACAGTACTATTGTTATAAGCTATATTTTATGCCTACTGCTTATGCTTCTTTATACTATAAGAATTTTACATGTATGTTACAGAGGAACGGATGCAAACACGTTGGCCGACAGATAATAATAATAACAATTAAGTATAGTATAGTATCGGTATGATGATGCACGGAAAACAGCAGATATTGTATGGCAGGTGTGGTAAATGACCCCCGACGAGACGCCTCTTGTTTTTTTTTTTTTTTTTTGTTATAAATTTAGCAAAAAAAACAGTTGTACCAACTAGCACTGAATGCACTTATACAATGCGTCCAGCTGTGCATATTTTTTCGCGTATTGATCGGGTTGAATGGAGGCCCAAACGAAATAATTAGCGAAATCACATAGCCAAGAACCACTTAGTTGTCGTTAATAACGTTTAACTGTGCCTTGAAGTTTAGCTGATACTTTTTTTGGACCTACCTTTGGATATACGCGTACGATTATTGTGGCTGTTTATACGATAATGAAAAAATTTCCGATTTTGAGCAACGAAAACTTTTAGGGTCATAGTAAGTTATAGTTAATTTATCTTAAACTGTCTGGACTCTTGTTCGCTGCTTTCCTTAGCTCTTCATTCTTTCAGCTCTGAAGGCTTTTAAGGAGCTATGTTTTTCGGAAAACTTAATGTTCAACTGGGTCAATTTTTTTCGATTGTCACATAAAATCATAAGCTACAACTACGAGTGACGTTTGAATGCTAGTTTTTCGGTCTGAAGCCATCATGACATCGATTGCGGTAGTATTGTTTTTATTGTTATGCCAGAAAGTATGCCACTCCCCGTCTGCCTCTCGGCCCGCCGTGATCTTGTTGTTAACGTCAATCAGAAGCCAAGCAATGATTTATCACACGATTAACTTTTACGACTTGTCGAATCTATCTCTCCCGTCGACAGTGCTCTAATCCCTCTAAATCCCTCGACCGCTGAAGTAAATCTGATTGCTGACTTGTTTGCTACCTTTCATCACATACCCACACGTGTATGTATATATATATATATATATATATATATATATATATATATATATATATATCTAAATATATTATTTATACACAGCTCATTCTGAACTTGCTTCAGATGAGCTCTCTTACGCGTCATTTTGGTTGAATGTCTGCATTCTAATCAATTCTAAGTCGTCTGTGTTGTAGCTAGAATCTCACTACTCTGTATGCCATCAATATAGTAATGATGACTCAGCTAGTCCGGAACATTTCTTCAACTCGTATAGACGCGTTATCGTACATTAACAGCCGCAAATTATCCCGTCCCCGATTAACACAGTCATGCTGTTTTTTCCCCGCATCTGCACAGACATGTGTACATACACACCCATTGACGTTTTCCTTTCTGTTCAGCTTAATCTGTCGAGTCTTTCTGCATCGTTTATCATGTGCCGAATAGCAAATGGCACCTTGAAAGTGATACTCTAATGTATGGGATTGTTCCTTGTTTCTTCCAGTTCGAAACAAACGCGGCGGTTTGCTTTGCAGCACCCGTATATTTGTGTGTATCATAGTCGAAGTAGCAATGCTGGCAGGATATTAATAATCTGTATAGATAATTTAATCACTATAGTCTCGTCACCAAAAACAAGTCCCGGCTAAGGCTCGACACAGGGGCGAAATATCTGTCAGATATACGTCCTTTTTTCAACGTCGACTAACCATATACTCCTTCGTATCGAAGCACAGTGTAAAAGGTACCTAGGGTTTTAAAACTGCTGCTGGCGTGGCTACATCTCATTTGGCGTCGGCATTATCAATGCTACTGTAGCCGCTGGTACTATTGTTATTATTACTACTGCTGGTGGCAGGCGGCAGCGTTGGGTCGACTGTTTTATTTGACACATCTTCGTCATCGAGAATTTCATCGTCCATTAGGCTGAGAGTCGTCAAAAATTTGGGTCGGCGCGACAACCATCTAAACAATATTGAACTCTCCGCTAGTTCATCGCGGAGATGCGTCCAAAATGTCCGCTCATCAAACATCGCAGCCTGAATTGGGTCGTCGAGGTCGAGCGAACTTGATGTACCGCCAAAGTCAAAGTCAGCAACCTGTATTGAACATTTTACATTATTGACCAACACAAATACGCGACAGACATGCTTTTCTATATACGATATATACATGTATAAATAAATACAAAGCGTGAAACATTGAGTTAACGTTAGAGAGACTATATGAATCGTAGTAACTGTAACAAATACCTCTATCCAATGGGTGCCTCCAAGAAGGCAGCATTCAAGGCCATCATTTACCTCAACACGTATGTCCCCTTTTGTGTGCTTATAGAAAGCAATCCCGACAACGATAACAACGAATCCAATTATGATGCACGATATTGGAACGATGAATAGCTGCAATAAGCCCTTCGACTCGACTAGAAGCGCACAAACGTATAAGTTACAGTGGGGTAGATATGAACAGATGCTACTTGAACGGGCATGGGTTGTCGGCCATAAAAATAATTTCAAGTGTTGTTGGTCCACAAAAGTACTTTAGTGAAAATGTACGTACTTCTCAACAGGCATAAGCTCGTAACTCATCGATTACGATCAACATTAAAGTTAATACATTCTACAGAGACGCAGGATAAGAGTTAGCTGGGCGTTATAGGTACTGGCCACATAAATTCACACGCCGAGGAATCGAAACGCTACTTACCGTCATAAATATGAATTTTGTACATCATTTTCCATGGTTTCACGTGCAAAAAATTGTTTACTTCGTTATACACGATCACCTGAATTGTACCGTGGCACATAGGAACAGAAATGGACAATGCAATTATAAATTTCTCTCAGTACGTTTGCGTCCTTGGATAAAACCGCCTCAGCTAGCGACCTGTCTGAAGGCTGCTCAGACTCACGTAACAATACATGAATGCTCTCTATACATTCTTCAAGCTGAATCTTGTCTTAGTTGTTCGCGTGAAGTTTGTGTGAGAGTAAGTGTGTCTAGAGCTTTCCACGCTTCTCTACAGACGCATGAACCTTTATAGAATAAAGTAAGTTCGCAGTTGAAAACTCTTCTTAATAGACAGCACCTTCGTATGTACGTACCCTGAACTCGTGGTCTCCGACTTTATCAAAGTAATGCACAGCGCCGAATTCGCATGACTCCAAACGGTGCCATTGGGACGCACAACTGAAGTCAGTTTTATTGGCAGGAGACGGGACCTCTTCTGGATCGAAGCAATAATATATTGGGGGACTGAAATTATCATGTTCGAGCACACATCAATCAATCGGAAACAGTGGTTCACGCCGTAGGTTTAAGCATGGAAATAATAAGAAGCTTTTTCAACGCTACATCAAATTCTTGATTTATTTTCTGTTTCGAAAACGCGTCGATCGGCCATTAAAGGCGGATTTTTATGCGGACAAGGGCGACCTCTATACTAAAAATAGAAGCGACAAGGAAGGCCGAATTTTTTAGATCAAGCAAAAAAATTGGGGATGCAGTGATGTAACAAACAAGCTTGCTGATATGCCCACAAGAGTATCCAATTCAAGATATCGGCTGGATACGGGTATCAGTAACTTCGGAAGCGTTCTCACCTGGCGTCACAGGAGAAGTTCAGTTTTGTTATCGAACCTCGAAGCAAATACAGATCACCTGTACTGTTTAAGTATGACATCGGGTCTGAAATGTACAGGACAACTTTCTTAAAAGCGTAATATGCTGGCTTTAGTTCAAACCATTGATCGTTTAAGAAGTGAAAAAAAAAAAAAAAAAAAAAATTATGTATTTTAAACGGTTTGGCTCTGGTATTGGTCGGTAGTGTTTGTAAAATCAAAGAGCATACACACATCCCTTTTGGCCTTATTGTGAATCTATTCGAAAATGATCAGAATTATACTTTCTTTCCGTTATCTAACACTGTAACCTTAATAGTATTACTTTGAAACAAATATCCCAACCAGTCTCGTAGTAAAAATCTATCGAGATAATGTTGTCCTATGCACTATGGTCTGGCGTTTAATTTACTGAAAATACTCGGGGCCGATAATCCGCTTTTAGGTTATATTCCATTCCTATATATTCCATATATAGGGTAAATCCAATACTGTACTCATAGCTACGATATGTTGACTAAGAGCGCCACCGGCCGCATATGTCCCGTTCGGATATTTTGCGGTAACGAACACTTGCAGAAAATCCGATTCTCTGCCCGGTGTCGACGGGAATCGATGCAATAGCGATGTATTATAGATCCCCATGTCACTGTTCAACTGCACAACCGGAAAAAACAATACAGTTTAAAGAGATTTGCTACTAGATAACGGCTCGATAAATGCTTAGAAACGAACACTGCCTAGGCGGGTATTATACCGGCCAATCCATATATACACATATATATATATTGGCGAAGCATATCTTGCTTATATCTATGCTTTCAAGTACCGTACCTGTAATTTCGAGATACGTAACTTTTAGTTCTACTTTATATTCGAGCCGTTCAGTTGGCCCAGCTTGCTGTTTCGGCGACGTTGCCGTTTAAAATTGGTACACACAAGTAGCTGATCAACATGTATGAATAGTCAATAGATTCGAGGCTAGAACGCACGATGCAGTCGACCATTATTCTCACCTTCCAGTAATAAATGAAGTCCATTCGCTGACTAGCAAAATAGCCGCCAGGATCGTTCACGGCGCACGACGCATTGACATTGATGGCAGAACTTACAAGAGTCTTGCCCTGCGGGTCGGGATCGACGTGGAGCGTTGTTCTATTCTGAACTAATATAAGGTTAGCGGGAATCCTGTCTGTATAGAAACGTGTCAAAAAATGAATAGTCTTTGGTTACATCGTTTTCCGCATAAAAACTTGGGGTAAATTGAAGGCGTTCTCATGATACAATGTAGTCAGAGTGCGCTTATTAATTAGCATATCGTTAATGATCACCCTCTGCAAACACAGAAAAATGTTTATTAAGAAGGTAGACAGACACCTAATCTCATCGATATTCATCGTTGGACCACTGTACCAACCTTAGGATCTAGCACACCTACCTGATAACGAAAAGTTCATTGTCGCCTCGGCGACAGTTCTTGGAATAAAGAAATTGGTGTATGAAACCTTGACGTGTAATTTAAATACGCCATGTACTTTTTCTCTCGTGTCCTGATTGAACGTGTGGTTAATCTGAAGTCACAAAAGCCCCTACATTAGAAATCTCACTCTCAGAGCGATGTACGATCAAACCTCGCATGGCCAAAGGCTTTATTCAAACAAGCAGTTTTTTATAACTTGTTTCTTATTAATCGACTAGGTTGGTAGCCTCCAACAAATCAACTCGTACGTATGAATTTTCTAAGCTACCGTCAAGCTACGGAAAAAATGTATAGCTGAAAGATGACATTATGGGCTTCGAACTGTAACATTTTTGCTTTCCATCTCGCAGGGCACTTACCAAAAAGTGTGTCACGAATTTCGTCAGTAGATGACTAGTTTTAATTGCTATTACCTGAACGAATCGTTTGCCAGTGGTGATATTGAAGTTGAATTCAGGCCGTTCTGATTTGAAACTATAGCGGTACTCTCGATAGTCCTGCAGATCGGTAATTAGTTTCGCTGAAAAGGTTATTGGGCTAAGGTAGTACACGGGCCCGTTGTTTTTCAATTCCAGCTTAGCTGAAAGAAAAGAAACGTAAATTCGGCTGTTAAGCATTACTTCAGGCGACTGGCCTCTGCCAACGTTAGGTGCAACGAGATGTGCTTCGTATCCCTAGCCTGATCCCAAAATGTCCCTAGCTAAGGCCAACCTGTAATCTGATAGACAGCCGCAACGTACTGCTGTTTCGTGCTGTGACTCAGCAGCCAGGCTATGTGCTAGTATTAGACATTCTACAAAAGAGCTCTGAAGAAGAGCTATCACCGAACAAATTTTACTGACCTACAATGAAAAAAATACTGCTAAAGAGAACTTCCTTTAACATTAGATCAGTTCCTTGAAAACAAAGATCTCTGAAATAGGAGACTAATCAAGGCTTTCTTGCGTCGCTACATGCCGCCAAGGACAGACTTCCTTATGTTCTATCTCTGGGCTGTACTCTAAAACCCTTTAAAACCATCTTTATATGCATCCGCTAATAACTTCTCATAATATCAAAGAACCAGGCAGCGTCAATCTGCATTGCAAAACAATGGAAACAATGTAGAATATGCAAGCGATTAAATAATGAGCCTGCTTTAAGAGGAATCCATTTCAGCAGTCTTTGCAATTCTGTTCCCTATGCTATATTGGGCTAAAGTAGGCTTCATAAGGTCTACATTTTTAATATACACACCTCTCGAAAAAGTAAAAAATGTAATATTTGCTAAAATTAGAAAAAAAAAACGAGCTTTCATATCACAGTATTGCCTGATCTCCAGCTTCTGGCATGTCAAGGGGGTACAAGATCGAGCATATATAAATAAAATATTTTTTATGTACGACTTTCAAAATCAACAGAGTGACTTATATGTGAGCCGGGATAATCTTTAGGGCGGCGAAGAAGATCATTTTTGGATTGTAAGTAGATTTGGTCTAATCAAAAAATTATCTAATAAAAATTGCGTGCCTGCGCATACATTCATCTTTAGGAAAACAAAAATCTATACTAGAACCTAGGGCGCTTGCGTTTGTATCACGTAGCAATCAATACGTGATACGTGAATGTGACTTTGGTTCGGGATCCGACATTGCTTCCCTTCCCCTTTTCAGATTAGATTTACCCTTTGTTGATTTTATTGTATCTTTCAACGACGAAGATGTGTATAAGTATGTGTACGTTATAACGAACCCAGCGAACACGCTCATAGCTTGAAAACTATCGAACCTGCATTAATACATATGATACACCTGATAACAAGTGGGTTTATATTAAAGGCATTTCGAAACAATTCCGTATTGACATGATGAAAATATTGTACTTGATTGAGTAATCATAGAATGGACCTATAGGGAACAATTTCGAAAACGAGGCCGTCGGTGACAAAGCTGTATTGTACACTTCCAGTATTACAGGGTGTTCAGAAAGTCATGCAACCTCATGACCTGGCTTGGCAGTTAAGCGGTACACCTTCGGAGTCGTTAGAAATGAAAACTCTCTAAATAGCTATCTAGCTCACTAGCCCTATTTATAGAGTGCAATGGGATAGTCCAAATCAGTAATCAATTAACATTTATTACCTAAAGATACGAAAGCGAAAGCCGAAGCGCGCAAAGAAAAGCTTTTTTTTCTTTTGGACTACATAATACCATCGATACACCTATTTATATCGTTTGAATGTTAGTAATGATAAACCGAAATTTCCCTTGACGATCGTCGAGTCAAGTCTGGTGCCGTAGAACTACGAAATAATGTATATACGGTACTGGTTGGAATAGTTCGTGCGAGCATATGGGTGTTCATAATATATCTTGTACCTAAATTGCAAGGAAAAGCATGGAATAAATCTGACATAATGATGTTTTGGTAGATAGTAACAGGTTAGCGCCTACCGACAACATTTGAAAGTTCTTGAGGTGGAAGCGGCTTTTGGCCGGCCGCAGTGAAAGAATAAAGAATCGATCTTTTTTAAGACAAACTTTTGAAAACGCACTGAAAAACACTTTTGATTATTACATCGTTTTTGTTCTACAATTTACAACTGTATGAAGAAGAAACACGTTATTGCAAAAAGCTTAACATGTATGTTTTTATTAAAAAAGGCTTCCCTGCGCTCTAGTAGGCAATACAGATATTTGTTTTCTTTTTTATCCAGTTTACTGAAGCTAGTTATATTTATGGCTCATATTTATGTTCCTGGGCTAACCTATATTTCAAGGTAACTTGAAAACCAATTAGAGTTTGAAGTCATCTGATCGGTCGATTAGAGGTTTTGTTAAATGAATAGAGAAATTTTTCTTGTTGAATACATTTCAGATTCCAATAATACATTGTTCATATCTCTGATACCTACATGGATACACTTAAGCAGATCTGAACTCTACAAAATTCAAAGTAAACAATTGTATCTCGACTTCGGATTTATTATGAGATTGGAAAATATTACATATACTTTCATTATACTCGAAAAGTGACCAGAGCAGAATACTTTTCATTTCCACTCTTCTCTGCCGATTGACAATGCACAGACTCGTATAAACCTAACTGACTTCATGATGTACTCCGCTGTGTTGCCGTACCAGGTCATAAGCAGAGTCTATATATACAGTGGTCTCAAATGATGTACGCGTTGACTGTGCATATCTTAAATGAAACCAACTGTATTTACTGGCTAAAATAAAGAGTGCGTTAGCAAACGATTCCTGAAACGGGGCAAAAATTAGGCGATTTTCCATCCTCATAATAAGCCATCCTCATATATGCTTTGTGGAAGCTATTATAGTTATAGCGTGTCGAACCTTAACATATGCAGTTTTCACAGGTTGACGAACGACTTTATGTAAAAAAAAAAAATAGAATTTAGTCTACCTTTTTTTCACACCACCTGTTGTGTTGATTGTATTAGGTTCGCAGATTACTTGACCTCTAAAGGCCCGGTTTTTGTATATCGTACATGTACTTTATTCTCATAGACACTATATCCTACTAGGATTCATGCTTGTTTTGTAGCTTTACTTATTCAACGATCCTTCGACAGTTTCTTCGAACGAAAGCCGCATGTGTCGAGGCCATGTTTCTCTGGGTGAAATCTATTTAAATCTGTAATCATTCCTTCTCTTGTCCAGATGGTAAATTGATAATAAATCATTAATGGCTAGTTTAACACGCTTTGCTCGTTAGGTGCCCAATAATCTATCAAAAATAATTTTGAATGTAGTATCTTGGTTCTAATTGCACTAGGTAACAGGTTCAGATAAAACTTTGAAGTGTATCTCATGCGTCTTTTTTTTTTTACAAAAATTAATAACTACTACACAAAAATTCCTGCTATGATAAACGGCCCCAAAAAGTTTGTCAGGACTCAGAAAGTACCCTGCATATTTAGAGCATGTAATAAATTTCACGAAACAGTTTAAAATGTACAAATATCTTTCAAACCATATCAGATAAATAAACGATATGATGACATATGCTAGACGGGCTCTCCTTTAATAATATTATTATTACATATAGATGTCAGCTTTGTAAAGAGTTCTCAACCGTTGTGTACTTGTGATCTTCACTACCAAACGTAATTACTCGTTTTTGATTATTCTCGTTATTGATGGCCCTTCGGGACCTCAAGATATTTCCAAGCATCCATCACCTCCCTTTGAAACAATATCTCTTTAGCACAACTGGGCCATATATAAAGTTGTGAGTAGGAGCACAAGTGTGCACCCGATTTTACTTGGAATTGCCGCCAAAATTGTATTCGATTGCATTGGGAAGAAACTCCCGCCTGGCCCTGTTCTTGTGAGAAGCACAAAGTTACTTACGTTTCAATAGCGGCAGTGTCCAGGCAGATACTATCTGGGCAAGTTGCCTCTACAGTACGCAACATGTTTCTGTATCGCTAATAGACAAAGTTCATGAAGAACCTATTCTCTTTTTGATTTTGTTCTTCATTTTCATTATAATTTTACAACACGTAGTTTAGAAGATCCAAAATTAACCCGACAGCAAGCGCGTTATCCGTCCTCTGCTTTTAACTTAAGAACTCCCATAATCACAAAAACCCTTTCTTCTATGTGCGGACCTGAAGTGTCATCACATCTTTTGTGATCTTCAGTTCTTGAAATTATTGTCCCAGTGACAGAATTTTGGCTTGGCGAAATCCTCACCTAGGATTTTCACCAATAATCGATAGATTCCACTAATGTTTGTACCTTTTGAAAATAAAAGACCGTTGATTTTCGGCTCCAAACGATATCTTCGCTTCTTTCACATATTGTTCTTTGGGGATGCTGAATTAGCTTACAGCCATAAGCAGCCAAACATTTGGCGTCAACTTTTATGAGATTTCGCGCGCTACTTTTCGAGAATCAAAGCGTGCTTATAAATGATAGAGGTACACCTAATATTTGATGGAGATCACGTGAAACCTCCTGCTACTCCAGGCCACCAAATCCTACAGTGTTTGAGACAATGACAAAGCTCATTACTTATCTGCAAGCCTTAATTTATTACACGGTCTTTCTCGCTAGAAATCTGGAACCCTAGGTGAGATAAAGAGGCGCAACTGGAACTGCCTTTGCCAGAACAGCAACAATGATTCCAATAGCGTTGACCCATCTAAAAAAATTATGCTTACAAACTTCTCCAGTGAAACGGAGCAATTGATTAACGATCCAACGAAGTATCGGATGTTCCCGACGTTTTTCTAACAAATGATAGTTCGATGACAATCCATTAAGGCCCGGTCGACATATAATGACCACACTGACAATCTTATATAACTTCAAACTTTAATCATTTTCAATTTTGAGCCTAACGGGAAAGAACTACAATGAAGTGATTTGTCGTCTGCTAACCGTCAACTAGAATTGCTCTTCTTCTATTTACGGTGATGTGAACACGATTTGTTGTTCAGCACATTACACTTCTTCGAAAGCTTTTCATTGCGGCAAAAACCTGTAATTGTGGGAGAAAAAATTGTTCTCACATTCAACGTTAAAACTGGTCAACTTTACGCACAATGCGATGACAAAGGCAGACCCACCGTTGAAAAGTACAGAAACGCTGGCCAGGATAAGGAAAACGCTGTACCTGAAATTCATCTGCAGTACAATTTGCAGCCATTTCAAAGCGCGTTAGGGTTAGAGGTCATTCGTCGATCTATAAAAGGACTAAGTAGGGTAGCAGTAAGCGACCTTTAGTTTGTCAAAGCGCAGATTCTTCGTGACGTCATTTTTTCGTGCAATACATTAGCCCCTGAGGAAATTAGTCAGCGTGCAACACAATCTCTTAATTCATCGATGTTTCAAATAGCTTTTTAGAAAACCGGAAAGCGCTACCTGTAAACTCCTGTTTAGGATATTTTATACGCTCGCTCGAGGACTGCACAGTCCCTAATCAGTTTTGAACTACCATAATCATCCCAGCCTGTAAGTGTGGTGACAAAAGTAATTCAGAAAACGTTTTATGTCTTTTACTTCTGTCACATGTAAACTGCTAGGAAGTATACTAGATTGTCTTTTTTTTACAGCTAATCTGTGAAGAGCAATTCGTGTGTCGGCCAAAATATTCCGCTGTCTGTTAGAGGCCCAAGTGAGTGGGCTCTCCGATGGTAAACAATAATGATAATTTCGAGTGTACGTGTTCTGATTTCAAATCCGCATCCTAAACGGTCACTTATAGCGAATTTCCAGAATTTCAACGAAATAAGTTGTAATCAAGAAATTACTAAACTTGAATACACGACCCTCTTGTGACACAGCAACTTCCAAACACGAGTGAAGATGATCCCTTGTCGTTTTTCCAAGCTACATTAGGCTGACCGCAGAAAATAGTTGTTCCCCCACCTATCTTTTCTGAAATACAGTATGCCTAGTGATGTCTAGGCTGACGATGATAAAATGTACATCATTAATGTTGAGCAACGGAGGGCTGCTTTTCGTAAATTGTTAGAATGCCTCTGGGTATGGTTTTTTATAGTTAATCATAAGCTATTTGCGCTAACATGGAGGTTGCGCAAAAAAAATTTGAGAATCAAAATCCCTGTTTTGATTATTTGTGGGTTAGGTTTACTTCAAAAGAACTGGCTACGAACAAACCCTCAGGATACAGGTTTAGCGAAATGTAACAGTCCTATCAATGTAAAAATGAAATAAAGATTTAATTTTCATTCACTTATGTCTAAAAAAAAAGCGATAGTGTAAACATACATCTTTATTTTCAAAACTTTGTTCCAGCTTCTACCCGTAATTACAGGCATGCCGCACTGAGATTTCAATTAACAACCACGATTAATTATAGTTTTTTATAGACATTTATTATTAACATGATTTGATTTTGTTTGAGTTTGTGTTAATGCACTCTCTTCTATATAGATCGAAAATAATGTACGAAGTTCAACTGGTGTAAACATTGAGAATGTGGATAAGGAGACTGAAGACCATAGAAGACGAACCTACAACTGAGAACTTCAAGCGGAAGAACGAGTTATTGAAGCTACGGAAGCTTATCGTGATGAATAAAAGATGTTCTTTGTCAACTGAAAAAGACATTTTTTTGAGATGTATTGTGACGAAAACACAGAAAATGAAAAAGAAGAGCAGAATATTGGTTCTACACGCCCACATAGAAATGATGAAGTCCGACGGAAAAGGGCAAATCAAAACAAGCGCCGTGTACTATAGAAACTGGTGGTGTAACTATGATAGGCAATAAATCTGCCTGCAGCATAAACAACGCGAAAGGCAGTCTGTGCCAACCATCAACAAACAACCACACGAAAAGAAAGTGACCTCGACAATAATGCCGAACAGATTCGAACATAAGCAGAAGCCCGTACTTGCATTGAATACGATGAACATTTGTTCCCACCGTGTTTCAATGGACCTGCTAAACGGTTACAGACAACAAGGAATATGGCGCCAAAACTCTCTACTCGCTGTTACGTGTTCACTAAGAAAAACAACGTTAACCTGATGGCCAGCTGAACGGCTTGATGCTCGATATAATTTTATATTGCTCCCTAGACTGTAGTATATCGACTCCTGTATATATAATAGTTCGAATTAATCCTTGGCTATTTTAGTTTCAACATTGATAGTCTTGCGGTATGGCAAGCCAGTTTTCTCGACAAACATCGCTAAGCTGTCACTGTTGCATTTTCCTACTCGACTGATTGGTGTTTCACGCTGCCGTATACTTTGACCCGTCTCTACTTCACTATTGTTTCAGTGAATCTTCGACACACGTAATTATTTGGTTATCATATCTCTTCGAATAGGTGAGCTATAGTTGTCACTATAGAGAAAAACAAATTTACACGGGGGCGGAAATGAAAAGGCGAGAACCCGGGTTTCCCACACGCAAACCGATGATACAATCATACAGGCAAGTAGCAAATAAATGGTAAACATATATGAATATCTCGAGCATATTTCAAATGATTGCCAGTAAATGAATGATGATAAAAAGCAATGGTCGTACAAGATTGTCAAATACTCTAAAGTTAGATACTAAGTACGTAAGTGATAATTCGAATCGGTATCAGTGTCAGTAACGGAATTTGCTTTTAGATCAATGGTAATGTTCTACTTTGGCGCTGAGTTTTCTGAATTATTCTGCGTGTCAGTCGTGACAGGAAATCATTAGATCAACACAAGCCTCCTCTCTCATCTAACGCCTTCTCGACGGTTCGAGACGAGTCAATGGCGACTGAAGTAAACATTAATACTTCATTTAATCTTTGTTACTTTATTTATACTATCTATTTGAGGCTTTAAAATGTCCTCAGACCTTGTCAAGCGTTCAACTGTCTAGCGTCCCTTAACTAAAGGATAGTAGTCTCAAAATAGCTCTCGCTTTCTATAGTCTTATCTTTACCGGATAAAACCACCGGTGCCTGTTATGATATCCTAGAATTCCGCTTTCGTTCTAATGCCACGGTCGGTCAACGGCAGTTCGTTCGCCTAAATATCAATCTTAGACAAATACTAAATTTAACTTAAAATTTAAAAAATCTTAAGAGGTGTCACTCTTTGCTCTTTATTAATACAATTAAGATTCACACAAAATGGCTTTAAAGAGATGTTTTTGTCTTGCATGTATCGCATTTCCGGTTTTTCTATTACCGACAATAAGGTCTGCCATCAATATTCGATCAAAAAATCTATTTGTCTCGTTTTTATATCCCACTTAATCGCAGTGGATTTGGCTACATTGACGTCCTTTGTATTCACCCAGCCGGGAAACTACTTAAAATAGATCGTAATAAATATACTATTTGGACAATTCATCTTTCCACATGGGCTTAATCTTATACGGTGATAAGGCTGCGCTAGTTTTATGACCATATGACGTTTCAAATTGAATTCTAGGTGCCTCGAAACAACGCTTTGGACAATCGTGTCGATCCACTGTAGCCAATGAAACCGAATATAGACGGTCGTACGAACTTCTCTATATAACCTATGAAATCTCACTGAAGTTGTTAAATAAAAATATATTCGCTCAGCGTCCACATTTTTACCGCACACTAAATCGTTTTATTATATGCATACGCCCCTACACTATGCCGTCAGAATTGACATTGCACTGAAGCAATATGGTTTCGAAATGGAGCGTTTGCCGTACCACACTTTCGTTAGGTATGCTTCTATAAGGGCCAACTGTAATAAATGAAACGTGCACATATCCTACAGTGAATTCTAAGTAACGAATTTATCTTAGTAAACAAAAGAGTACCAGTCCTTAAACATTCCAGCAATTCGAAATAAGAACAAACAAACAAACAAACAAACAAACACGGTTAATGGATGTTTGCTGTAACAGGCAGTCCCAGAGATTTCGGCGAATTGAAGTGTGACTAGCAAATATGCCTACGGAGGCATTAATCGTGCGAGGATAAATCACATTTGATCTCATAAAAAATGTGTCTACCTAGTTCAAGACAGGTGAGATACACCCATTCAGCTCTACCCAAGACGAGTTGACATGATGAGAAAGCCCCTAGCCACTAACAATGTTACGAATTATAATTCTCTTCCATGTTCACAGATCAGTACACAGAATCGTTGTTGTTTATTTCAATGAAAACAGTGAGACCATTTTTTTTTTGCAAGGACGGAATAAACGTGTCGTATCTTCTTGTCTAGCTAATATTTTGCCTTTGCGACTCGACAGCTGTCGAATACGTGCGAACCTCATTCAGTAACAAAGAAGGACGCAAAGGCGATGCAATTGCTTAGCTACGGCAGAATTGAACTTTTCAGTTAATATCTAGGTGTCCGTTAATTTCGCAGATAGCACCTTAGTGCTTTGATCCTTTTACCCATATAAGTTGTCTTGACGGTGTCACTCCTTCTATGAGTAGGCATCTAACCGGATTTAAGCTATTGTCCACGATTTTACGCTCACTGAACTTACCCATATTTCTGACTCCGAGAAATTCCCAACTGGATGCAAAAAAACAATAAAAAGACGCAAAAACCCAGAAAACAGACCACCACATCCTGATGATCTTGTTATTAGATCCTGCCTCGACTTTTATTTATTCAAATGCACGCAGACACACACGGACTGAGACTGAATTTCACTTCAGTGACAGACAGATTCGTTGGCGGAGGATGAGCGGGTCCGAGATTAGAAATCTGCCGTCCTCAGGGCCAATAGAACGATCGCCAAAACTGCACCCGGTGATACCAACTTATTCGCGACGTCTTCACTTGTAAGTTCGAGCACATCTTATTGTTTGACTGTTTTCAGCTAACACGCGATATTAGTGACGTCCAGTACTGAGCAACGTATACGGATGGGAGCACTGACAAACAAAAAAAAGAAAAAAAATTAAATATATCAATACGGCACACCTCACGACAATCGACAGCTGACGACGTGTGAAAGTGAACAGACGGCTAATTCAGGAGACAATAACAACCTCACCTTGCCCCACAGCAATACCAATAAGAGCGTTTGGCCAAAAAAGTGAATTATGTAATAATTCGAACCGAATCTTGCCAGGATCTCCTTTTCACCTACGGCTAAAAAGACGTCAACGCTGGGCCCTGAAATTATAAATACAATTGACCAAACTTAGGTCGCTTAGCGATATACGCCCATAGTTACAGTAGCAAGCTCCTCCATTAAGTGTTTTTCCAATTTCGTACTTTTAAATTTGCCCGCCATTCTTATCATTTACTTGTGGAGGCCTAAATATATCGTATACTTACTTATATAGCCGTACACAGTTCCCCTGCAGCGCCAATAGAATAATTGAAGATATCGTTTTTTTTTTGCTTAAGCATACGTGGAAAGAATCAATAGCAGCGAATGTATGCGAATTTATTAGTACGACCAAACAATAATAGATATCTCCGAGCATCACCAGATCCCTCGTTTAAGGCCCCTTTCCACTCAGATCGTCAGCTGGTATTAAACACTATATTCCTACTTAAACAAAGTAGTAGTTGGTATTCGTATGTGCCAGACGAACTGTTTATATATGCTTGAAAGCAACAATGAATTCTAACAAAAAAGTATATTCATTGCGTTTTAACCAGGACCAGAGTAAGTGTTCATACCGTGTCTTTATTTTCAAAGGCAACGCAGCCTTATTTCTTAAACCTGGTTTTTTTGATAAAGGTACGTATTTTGAATGCGGGATTCGTACTTAGCAACTGAAAAAGAACAGCCTCGGTTACGTTCCAATTAATAAAGAAGGAAGTTTATTTTCACAAGAAAAGCAGGGACAAGACCACGCCATACCTTGTGCGCTGTAAAGTTGCTGGCGTACCCAACAGGAACACCCCATTTTGTACAATATATATTTAACGGAATTTTTAGGAAAAATGTTTAACGGTATTTCAGTTGAGTCGACACAAAACGATACAATTGAGGTAATCATACTTTTACTGTGTCTAGTCTAACTTCAATAACTAGCCAGTTGATGAGCTCGATGCGATACTTAATGGCGTTCATAGTCATGATATTTTTTGGGAACATACCAATTTGTCCCTTACCAGTTATATATATATATATGCTACGCAGTCTTAACGGTGGGATCATTTACATGCAGAGCGGCATGACTCGAGGACTGCACTTATTGTGCATGAAGGCCTCAATAAAGAAAAATCGATTGATTTCTGGTTAGATGAATACAGGAGGTCCTGCAAGGACCTTCCCTTGTAACACTCAAATATTTGTAAATTTCGTTTACGGCTCTAATTTCAATTATTTAATATCGATAGGTCCAGAAGTGGAATTTCCAGTTACTCGCTAGTTTCTTATTAGTTCAATCATCTAGTAAACTGAGCAGCGTTTTTTCAATGAGACGAATTAAAGGTTTTAACGACCAGCCCGTAACCTTAGCAGTAGGGAAAAAGCTCAATCGGAAGTTTTATAAGTTGGTGTATTACTTTATCATGACACACGTTTCTAAATAGTTTCAAGATATGATAATATGTACCGTTTTATTAGTATAGATTATTACTATTGCAAAAACACTTTTTCTGCTATTAAGTCCTGCAAATTCAGTAAGCAAACATATATAAAACCTCACGCTCATAGCACAAAGAAGTTCGTTTACTAATGTATTTTTCAAACTACCATGTCACTTCCATAATGCGTCAAACGAATTCTAATAGGGAAGCTGACTGGGTCTGTCATGAAGTTCCTAGTGCGTCTTAGGTTGTAAGCACAAGGCTTAATCTTTTTTTTTTTCATACAGGCCTATTCGCGTGCGCTTCTGACAATGGCATACAGATTTTCAACATAGAGCCGTTATCAGAGGTCGAGCACATTACAGACCATCCAGATCTGCCCCCCATTGGAAAGGCAAGTTATTTTGAATAAATATGTCTAATATAACATTTTTTTCCTAATTGCTGATATGGCCAACTCGTTTCCTATGTGTATTTTATTCTTTTGAACAATGGTGACCTCATAGAAAAAGCCTAAGCGATCAACTGTTGTTGCTTGTTTCAGGTCGAGATGTTACATCGTTCAAATTTCCTCGCATTAATACCTGACGGCAGTGGAAACTGTGCTGATAATGTGGTACTTGGATACGACTTAAACAAACATAGTGTGTGTATGGATTCAGCTTTCATTGGAAAGGTGCGTTTATAAATACCTTCTATAATAGTTTTTTCTTCTTTTTTTTCGTTTCGACAATTCATGCTCGACAACTTCGGCCAGAAATGCTTATTAGGGGTGTTCATATATGTGGAACGTTATCGATCTCTTACACGTAAATCATACAACACGTTGATGTACTGTATATCTTACATGTTCCTGTTTAGTAACGAATTTTGTTTGTAGGTGTTATCTGTTCGTCTGCGCCGTGATAAGATGGTTGTAGTTCGCAGTCGTCAGATCAGTGTATTTTCGTTTCCAGGAATCCCGAAGGTGCTTCATGTGCGTGACACTCGTCCAAATCCCAAAGGCCTTTGCGAACTCAGTCCCCTTGCGACTTCTCAGCGAATCATACTCGTACGTTATGGTAGTCATATTTTCTTGCCGTATGTAATGACACGCTCGGTTAACAAGTTTTTTTTTCTTAGAAAAATTAATTTCAGCTTATCAAGTACAAAAGTTCAAATCTGCAAGTTTAATACCAATATGCGTTTCTTTTTGTAGGCGTATCCTGGTCAGAAGATTGGTTCCGCCATGATTGAGGACTTATCCTCGTCGCCTCCGCACTCGATTACCATAAATGCTCATCAAAATGAACTCGAATGCATTGCGCTTAACCAAAGTGGCACGATGCTTGCCACCGCTAGCCAGAAAGGTCCAGTTATGACACACACTTGCGACATGACATCAAAGTGGCAACTATACCAGTCTTCAAAAGTATTGTTCGATGATCTGTTTGGCAAGGATTTTGACTTTATAAGCTGAAATTTAACTGATTGGTAGCTTATTCTGAACTACTATTTTTGTGATACCTGCTTTCGATATTGCAGGAACCCTGATACGCGTGTTTGATACGGCAAGGTCGTCTGCACAGCTGTATGAGTTTCGTCGGGGAAACGATCCAGCGACGATGTATTGCATCAACTTCTCGCCCGACGATAGGTATCTTTGTTGCTCGTCGGATAAAGGGACAGTGCACATCTTTGCTATCCTCAATACCTCGCTCAACAGGTCATTATCAAGGTCATGTGTTATCATAGATCAGCTAAATGTTTTTTCAAACACTCAATGATAAGCTAAACAGCGAGGAACATCAATTCCGTAGTTTGATAAACGTCTCTTATGTTTAGGCGCACTTACAGGTCACCGTAATTATTCCATAGTTATCACAGGGTATTGTTTGCAATTGCAGACGATCGATCAAGCCGTTCGATTTTGCATCGTTCGCATCGTTTGCAACTGATGTACGAGCGTTGGCATCATTCAAGGTCAAGGCGGAGTGTGCCTGTATGTGTGCATTCGGACCGCAGACAGAACGTGGCCAGATAGTGTATGCTGTCTGTGTAGATGGAACGTTCCATAAATACATCTTCTCCGAAACTACGCGAGCCTCTCTCGAGGCATTTGACTGCTTTTTTGATGTTTGTCCACATGATAAACAGGAACTATGTTAACTAACTTTAGCACAAAGGTGACAAGTTACCCCCAATTCGAATGAATGTTATTGTGATTTTATAGAAGTATACCGTACGACGCACATTGGCATATACGTGGGCTGGAATGCAGAGCTGTTTCTTTTAATGAATTCAATTAGAAATAGATTCAATTTATGTATCAAGATTTGTTATTGAATATGGAGGGTCGGGAGCGATGTATGACGAATGGTAGAAGGCGGAAAACAATTATTATATATTGCGTGTTCACTTGCCACTTGCAGACCAATAATTATAATGGATTGCTGTTGAATAATAAGCAGGTCGTGGGAACGGCATTATCTCGAAAATAACAGTTCTATTGTTTTTGTAATCATTTGTGTTGCTATACGATTTATAACGTTGGCGAGAAAAGAAAAAACAAAGCTTGAAACAGCTAAAAAATCGCTCCAGTCGAAAATGGCTAGTGAATTCTCGATATCGAACTGTTTATCTTTTCCAAATTTAAGAACGGTGAACCGTTATATATTGTCTATTTGCATTCAGTTGTCTCATGCGTATCTTATATGTACATAATTATGTATGAGATAAACGGATTAAGAAGTGATTAAAAACAGATGCAACAGAATGTTATGAGATGCACTTACTTTTAGTGTTATCTTTTGTGTATTATAAGTATTCGTTTTACCATACATGTCTGGTATTCGCAGACCGAATTGTAAACAAACCCGTTGAATGTTTCGCTTGTACTCCGCTAATTGGTCCATGTTTCAGAATATTTCAGAAATGGGAGTTGCTATACTATACGTGTATCTCAACGCTCATATGTTAAAAGGGAAAGTTAAAGTTCGTCCAAGAATAGAACTAACTAATCGTCAAGTGAGAAAAACTAGTTTTTGAACCTTTAAATCTTAATTTTTTTTTTAAATCAAATGTTGCAGACACAGGGTTTCCTCCGCAGGGCGCCTCTGCAAACTTTCAAGTGAGTTTTAGATCGGGCTGACATGTACTAGCTGGTCCGATGGTTACGAGGGGGCGTTGAGAAAGAAAAGGAAGTCTAGTAACGTCCCTGTGGACGCTCTATAGGCTTGTACTTAAAATCGACCTAGTATAGTTGGTTAATGACAAAGAGTGGGTAATTAACGACTAGAACAAACGTTCGTTACAAGGTAGACTGCTCGCACGATAGAAGTGCAACCCACTGGCTAGGGTGATCCAGTCGTAAGACGTTTACTGGCTAGGAAGTAGGGTAAGAGGAATATATAACAGGGAAATGTATAAAAACTTAGCCTACTTAGAAAAACGAGCTGCACCGCGACTTCTAACTGGTCCTATATAGATGGTAGAATGAATGAGCTTGAGAAATGAAGTGATTGAATCGTTTCTCGAAAATCATCTAAAACGCTTTATATGAATGGAGTATCTTATAACGAGATGGACAAAGAAGCGAACGGTTAATTCCTTAATTAACGGTTAATCGGTTAATTAACGGAGAGCTACTTGTAGTGACATGGAAAAGTAAAATAACTAAGGCATACTAAACGTTGTACGAGTAACGTAATTAAAAAATATGATAATATGGCAAAAACAAGATATCTCATCTAATTTCAATAATATCATTGTTTTAATTGTAGACACTCTCGCTGGCCTGCATACTAGACATGCGATGCCCTCAACTTAAATAAAACTAAATTTCCAGCCCATATGTATGTTCTAAGTATTACCCAGCCCGGTGGGGACATCACGTCCTTGTTTTAGAAAGGCGCGTTATTTAAAGAAGGAGTTTATGTAGGTAATCCAAAAAACTGTGTGTCATCATAGTGTCGAATGATAAGTCATGTATTTTTCACTGAAATGGCACACCTCTTTCAGAGCAAATTAATTAACTGAACAGAAAGGGGTTCTGGCTGTCTAACAGCCCAGATTTAAATCCACTAGATTATTATGTTCGGAGCGCGACCCTCACAATTTTTAACATGTGAACACAATAGCCCACTTTCTGTAGTAGTCAAAAAGTTGGGAAGTGATGTTTCGACATGAGTTTTGGCCGCTTTAGGGATCAAGCTGAAGCCGTAATCAAAACGATTGGCAATTACGCTGAATAAGAGCACCTGTAATGAATACCCATGCCGCACGAAACACTTGAGCCAAACAGCTGAGTTTTACTTAGATAAAGCTTATAAACAAGCGACATTGAAATTACATCACAGTTTTTCTGCCATTCTGTATATATTATATATCGTATTTACACATTTTATTCAAATTGACAAGTAGGATACCTTGCTTTGCATTCAGGAGCATCTTTTTCAATTTTTTGCCCCCTTATATTTGATATGTGCGGTACGTTATACTAAGTGTTGTGGCAAATACGGGTCATTATTTTGATGTTGGTGTATATGTAGCTAAGGGCCATTTTTCGATGTGTATATCTATTCATACTTTTATTAGTAAAGTGCTTTAAAGACACATTGTATAGCGTCAATCTGAATAATGAGGATGGGAGGTTGTTTTTCTTCTATGCGATGGTACTTTAATGATTTAATGTAGTACAACGAATATAACAACCCAACGTTTTGGACCTTGTTAACTGTTAAGATGAACAAGAAGCCAAAGCAGGTGCGGACATTTTGTTTTATTATAGAAATTTTGATTTTTTCATGCGTCGACTAAACAGATATCATTGTTTGACACTTGTGTAAACCCGTGATTTTCAGTTATGTATTAAAAACCATGTTTAGCTCTCTAAGATGCTTTCAATTTCCTTCGAGTACCCTTTCGATGTTAAGATATACGTGTATAATGCTCCCTTTGTTTTCCTCTTATATACCCAACGCAGTTGAAAAGACTGTTAAAACAGAACATGTGTTCCATAAGTATCATAAACATACGATGTGTAAGCAAGACAAATCTGATATTTCTATTGTATTTTGAAATCTGCATATTGTTTGTATAAAGGGCACCTCACCAAAATGAAAATAAATAGCAGTGATAATGAAAAATTCACAAACGAGTGCTATTATATAAACTGTTAGGGGAAGTGTCATAAAGCATAATGCCTACGTCAACCGTACGACACGATCCTACGGCCGTCGATGGAAACGAGCCGTCAAATTATCGACATCGGCGGTAAAACGTTGAGTCGTGAGGAATCTGAAAGCTCTCCAAAGCTAGTTTACATGCTGTTTGTTGAACAGATTTTAAGCAGCTTACCGTCTTTTACATGTACTTACAACATTGGCCGTCCAAGAAGAGATACATGCGCCTTTCATAGTAATATGAAAGTGCAATAACAGAAAACGTCTACGTAGTTGTCAAGGGGGATCGAGTTAACGTGATTGCCTAAAGACGCGTTAAAGTTAGCCGAGACAGCGACGAGATGCACCCTCAAAGTGAATCGCCAACGTCCAAGAATCATCGCAAACCTTGATCAACTTTTAAGTAAAGCTTTCACACTCATATTGACAGATCTCAGCTCCTGGGTGGCGAATTACCCGGCTCCATTTGAATTCAGAAAAAAAGAGTAGTAGACTAGCAATCGATTGATTTGCGACTAACAGGGAATTAGCTTATGCGCAGTTCCTGGTAAACGAACATCAATTCAAAGAAAGATCAGGACTAGTCTCCCATCTCCGTATCGTATAGGTCATCGCCATTCCCCTGTACGCCGAAAGCTAACAAAGACGTTACTCTCTATGGAAGTGTCCCTAAAGGAGCGGAAGCAGAGCGGCGATAACGGAAGGCGTGTCCATAGTATGTAGTTGTGAAGATATCATATAAGCGTCTTAAAATTGCAGTGAAAAGCTCTGCCCCTTGTGTGGCGAAGATGCGGAAATTAGTTTCGTTCCAACCTGATATATTCTATTACAAGCTATTAGATTTTGCCCCTGTGTTGGAGGATGAAGTAACCAATAGAAAAACAAGCGCGAATCAAGCGTCACTGTCCGCAAGATCCGTTCAGTTATTAACCAAATATGTCACACCGGTAGAAGTACATACATATTGCAATGTACATAAGTAAAGAAAATTGGCATTATTTACTAAGTAAGTTTTGAATATCATAGACAGATTTGCATTTTGTGTATAGAGGCACGTTCGTTCTTTCCGGTAGTAAATAGGAGAATTCGGTTTGCCCATCAGTCTTTCAGATATCCAGTGTTCGCTTCTGCGCTGGTTAGGACTTTTTACATCGTTATATTTCAAAGTGCGCTTTTTCCTCAAACATCTGACTTTAGCTGATTTTAATAATTGTATGCAGATTGCCGTTAGTCAACAAACTTTGCTCCACGTACGACCGTGCCTTTTTCTCGCATAGACTTTAGCTTATGTACACTGATTAACTAAATTTATATTTATGAGACGGATTTCGATTAGGTGTTAAGTCGCTTAAAATGCTCCACATCTAGAAGTGATTCCATTACGAGTTACCAATGATTTCACGCAGAAAAGCTGGTCACTCAACAAGGCTGAAAGGCAAATGCCCTTCGTCCGTCATAGAGGCTTTAGTTAAGGCTAGAGAGCCTGATCTTTTACCGCTAATTAGGCAGGTCAAAGCTTGTGGTATGCACACCACAGCACTATATGAAATTCTGTTGCGCAGTATCGAGCTAGCACTGATGTTGGCGAATCTACGAAACGAAGTGTATTTTATTCAAGCAGAGCGAAGGAACGATGGCGTACAAAACAACTGCAATGCTTTGGTTCAAATTTACACCTATAAGAATCTGTGCATTTCTACTAAACTTATGTTGTACTCTGACGATACTTACTTCTCTCAGTTACCTGTAAAATTAGCAATCACGGATTACGGTTATGCATATGCTCCAAATGCCCATATAGTTTGTAGGTATAGATGTATAGACATTTATAAAACGTAACTTGATTTCGGCTTAGTTTTGAAGATATGGTTTTAGGAGGGTCGAAGCTGTGGTTGAAAAACGAGGTGATTATTTTAGTTACTAGTAGTTCAGTAACGATTCGAAGTGCGATGGTTCTTTGAACCGGCAACAAGCCCTCCTACGCTTGAAAGAATGCCTGCTAGGCTCAGCTTCACTCTGAAAGCTTTTCCAATCGCTTGCTCCATGTGCTCTGTACTTCGCAATCTTATGTCCAGGTTAACACCTGGGTACTTCACGGTTATCCTGAGCTTGTAATCCTGAAATGTAAGGTTTCTCCTGTCGAACTGTTTCTCAGTGAAAAGGATCGTTTTGCATTGGTGCAGGTGGTGTTCCTACATCCAATCTTCAAACTTCGCGAGCACAACATCGGCAATCGTTTCGAAGTAAAGCTCCGTAAAAGCCTTTAAAAGTTCTGCTAAATTCTCGGCGTACATAACCATCTCCTCTTACTCTGGTATAAAACGTTATTCGACTATTTTGTCGTACCCGATATTTCACAGAATTAGCTCAAAGACCGATACCTATCAGGTTCCTGCCGTGACGGAAAGGCCAGAGCCCCAGGTAGGGAGGGATCTATTCTTAAGTTAAAAGAAAAAGGTTTTTTTATGTAACATGAGATACGCTTCCGCTCCGATACGTCCATTATAACGTTTTAGGTCATCCTGTTTAAAGTATTTTTTGTGTCCAATCATGGAACAAGGACGAAGTTTCTGGTTTTGTTCGATTTTTGCAGTCCTAACAAGCATTTTAACAACGTTCGGTAGCACAGCGTTCGAGCTGAGTGCTGTTCCTAACGCTGGCATTAACTCTTGTTCTGTCTATCTCGTCGGCTGTCTGATGTTGGTCTCTTTTTGGGTAAGTTAGAAAGTGGCTGTTTACTGCTACCTCTCAGTCTGTCAGGCGGCAATCGTGATGATCCTGTTTAAAGCGTTCGTAGATCGTAGATTTCCTGCGCACGCTTCCACTTCATTTACTAATTTTTTCCATCTATCTTCGTTGCTGCAGCGCATGAGCTTCTTTATTGCTAATTAAGTACTGGTTGGTATTTTCGCTAGGAAGGATAAGGATTTGCCTCATGTGCAACTTCTCCATTGATTTACTCAAATCTTCTGTACCCCGTGTCGGTTTCCTTTTTTAGGGCGGCCTAATCTAACTTCTTTGTCTAAAACCTTCTTTTTTTTCTAGAGAATGTCCTATGCTATTATTTAAAAGAAATACCTGTAAGCACGGTTGTTTGCTTCGTTTACGAGAACGCTTAAAGTCACATGTATTACTCGTGGCTGTCACCGGATCCCTCTCATCTACTCGATCCCTCTGTTTCGAATTGTTACGTTCGGTATCACCGTTAGAAACTCCATCAGACATCTGGCTCTTAGGACGAGACAAACGGCATGTCTATGTTCGGGTTAGGACCTAGACCACAGCGTGTACCTAAGATTAGCAGACAAATACGTTACCCACTAAGCTACCGCAGGGACAAGATATAGTCTCGAAAGGCATGCATTGGCGTGGTCCTGCTGCTGCGTGCCAAGGCCGGCGAAACGAAATCACTTGAGTTGATAATCTTCTGTGCTGGGTAAGTTCTAAAACACTCTCTGGGACTTCTCGATTACCCTACCGGCCTATTCGATGACGACTAGCGGCTACATGTAACTGCTACGTTATATACCTAAGCGATGAAATACTCTGGCTTGCCCCACTGTCTCTAATAGCCTTTTCGTTTTTAGTGAGCCATGTGGCCAAGTTTGACCTTTTGTCTTTTTTTAGTTTTTTTTCGTCGTTTGTTTTTTTAGGCCCTTACCGTACTTACGCTCGGTCGCACACAGATTTGAGTTCACTTAGCGCTCCATATAGCATGTAATACGCCCTGGCAGATTTTAGGTAGATTTATGTAAAGTATTCTGAGATCGTTTACCACAAGTCTGTTTTTCGAAGCTTTATGTGTTCTTCCCTCACTTCCTTGTGCTTCCAATTAAACTGATCTCGTGCTTGACTACTTCTTTTGATTCTTGACGTCGTTCGTTTTGCTTTTTTTTTCGCTTAAACAGAGGAACCCTAGTTAGGCGTGTCATTCGGTTGCTGTTCTAGTCATAAAGTTGTTGCTTGAAAAAATCAGACCCTATCGTACGTGTATGAAAGATCATGTCCAATATATATCAAAAAATTATCAAGCCCAAGAAAAAGAACCAAGTTGGAAAAGGATTTGTACGCAACGTAATTCAAGAACTGTGACACATGTTTTCGAGACGACTTCGATGTAAAAGTGACCAGCTAGTATAAGCTGCACAACAGTCCGACTCAAATGACGTTTGTGTTAAAACGCATCCACAGCAACAGACATATGAGACAGATCTGTGGCATAATAGGTTAGTTATCAGTAGTAAATATTGAAGACTAAAAATCAGTAAGCCTTCTTACTGGTCCTTTAATGCATATTATGTGTCTACTTCACTATATAATGGCTACTTAACAAAAGAAGATACGTTATTTTTAACTCAAGTGATCCTTTATTCAAGTTGGGCGCATAAGGTATAATTTAATTTTTTTTTACTATTGTGACGTTGATTATATATATACACCTTATCACAAAAATTACATATATAATTTTAGTGATAAAGTGGTTAATTAGGTGATTTAAATATAACTCACTTATCCGCAAGCTTTGGAATATCGAACTATACGAAGATTACGTTATTTAACGAAGCATTCACACGATTAATGATTTCGCTGTGAAGCGCTTGTTTTTTTTTTACCATCTTCTGCTTTTTTAAACGTTTCCGCTGTCATAATATTTACATATATACATTTACATATCATAATTACTGCTCATGTCTATCATTGAAGGTATTATCATATAACGTTTAATTTACGTCCTTTACGGCCGGCACCACTGTTAGACATTCCATCAGAAATACTCATGTTCTAGAACGATATTTACAATTTACGTATAGTTAGTTTTGTATTCATTATGTACATGTCTATATACAACTCAGTGACGATTATATGGTTGTTTCCAGCTAGATTTTTTTCTTGCCGTTTTGGCAAAGTCCGGCAGATCGGTTATCCAATGGACACATCAACGTGCCCAGAGCGGTGATCGTACTGAAATGACAATTGGGGAAGTATACGAAACAACGTAAATCTGTCCACGTAAACCAATGACGCTTCGAAACACGTCTAGGTTACAATACTGGCATAATGAATACTGTTTGCACGATGACGCTACGAAGCTGTATGGCTATCATCAAGGGCTGACCGCGATAAGGATGTTCTCTAGCCCTTGAGATACAACATAGCCTTACGGTTTATGATTTAGGTAAAAATGTTGATTTTTTATCGCAATTTTCCAGATTTTTTTTAGTAGATCACATCAATAATTGGAAAACTAGCAGAGCTTCGGTGTCTTATGGCGCGCTTTCCAAACGTACTAACTCTACATGCGACAAGACAAAATCGTACCTGCATGTAGCAAAGCCTGATGTCCCAAATGTGCCTCCGTGAGTGAAACACGGCGAAGACATTTTACATGGAAAAAGTGTACGCTTTTTCTCAAACTAAACATCACTTTCATAGGTCCTATTAGCGTTTTCCAATTGATAGTGAGCACTAACAATTTATATTTTCAAAGCATCTGCGAGATTCTATTAACATATAGCACCACGTTTCTACTTCAAGCATCGGCTCTTTTTCTAAGCGGCTTCATCTAAAAGAACTTACGGAATCTTTAGATAGACAAAAGATAGGCGATATGTAGGAAAGGATTCATAAAAAACAAGCATTGAACATATATACGTATAGTAAGATAAGTGTATACTTGATGCTTTGCGTGATCTATCGAAGGCGATCAGAATGTAAGTCGTTGTGCTAAAATAATATTTAGACAAATCATTACACTATATGGTTTAGCTATAAGTCAGCAGGAAACCCCTGCAGCTCTTCGATAAGCATCATGCGCTTTTTTTTCGATAGTTAACCCAGTTTTTTTCTTAACTTTCCGCTCGCTTCGTTTGGCAATATCTTGTCACCTTGCTGTTTTACGGTAGAACCTGCACGTTAGTTTTTCTATGGGTGGATCTTATTGTCGTATGACGCTGCGTTTGCAGTCGTCACCGACTGATACTGCTGTCGTTGGTGATGGTGTTGCTCTAAATGTTTACCATTGGTCCGGCTTGTAGAGCTATGATTCTTTAGCATCGTCGCCCCCTGATGTGGGTGCATCGGCGAGACGCCGACGCCCACAAAGCTGTGATGCGACGGCAATGGCAACCGTGTGGGGGCGCAGTTGTGATCATGTCGGGTCAGTGTTGTTTGTTCCTTCGAGTAGACAGACTGCCCAACGAGGTACGGTGTACCGTTGAAGAATCGCGCTTGGCGCCGCAGTATAGTGAAACCAAAAAGAAAAAGCAGAAAAAGACAGGCGAGAGCCGTAAACAGTACAGCTACGTGGAATGCTGTGAGTCCCGTAGCACCGCCGTCGGCAGGAACTGTGCTCAACCCATTGGCATCATCGGCAGCGCCTTTTATAGTCGTCGTCTTCTTTTTGATCGAGTCCATGAAACGCGGATTGTTGAAGATTTTGTCACTGTCCATAAGTGGATTTGTGTCGGCCTGATGGTCAATTGCTGTGAGATCCCGGCTGGCGCTGTTCGACCGGTTGAAATCGATCTCGGCCTCCTCGTCCCGAGGGTTTTCGATTACGCCGCCGTTGTTGTTTGCGTTTGCGTTGCTGCTGTTGTTGCCTGGAAGGGGACGAAACAACAAGATCTGTTAGCTGTGACGCCCCTGTCGTTTAGCAGGTATTGACGATTTTAGCTATCGTATACTAATGCTGTCATTTATTGTCCTTTAGATATCAACATCTAGACCTTTTAATCACATACAGAATAACAAGCACACAGTTGTCAATCGCATACTTACTGCTATCGCTGAAATTGCGCGGGAGAGAGTTCGAAGGAAGATCACTGGAGATTGCTGGTCCTGCAGTGGCAGTGCCATTGCCTGTGTTCGTGTACCCGTAGACGCCGCCCATGACTTGCGCCAATTGTGGAGGCAGCTCATTATTGCACATATACTTCTCACAGCATACGAGGATTGGCCAGTTAGCTGCAGTCCTTGGCCGACGATTTTCGCAGAGCAAAGATGTCTTCGTTGGCAAGCAGCCCTTCGTTATCGGATTGGATCCATCTCGTTTCTTTAGGTACTGAGTGTAGCACATGGCATCTTCACATGTTGTACGACTCTCGTTGCGACAATGATCCGTGTTGCAAGCGCACTGGAAGGTCCCGTGAATCGACACTGAGTATCCACCTGCACGTAAAAAAACGAGAAAGAGCACAGGTCAGTATCGGCACTTTTACCCATAGCTAATATACATTTATTAATAATTGGGGAAACTACGCACTGTAAACAGACGGGTAACAGATGAGATAAAAAGTATATAAAACAATTGTAAATTAGTAGATCGGTTACGCCCCTGGAATCCTTCTTATGTGCGTTCGTTTCGAGTCAGCCGACTGAGTAACGACTGGTTTTAATTGAATTGAGAGCTCACTCATACAAACAACATGAAATTAAGCATTAGTTATGTCCGAAGTGATTGTTTTTGTGAGACAAAATGCGCATTTTAAATTACCTCTGACCAGACGCTAATTCAAACAACTATGATAGCCGTTGTCTGTGTAGGCTGTGATACACATGTAACGTTCCGGAAAAGTCTATCTAGAAAGACAGTCACTTCAATTACTTTTCAATTATGCCGACTCTATATCGTAAAACAAAAAATAAATCACCTTTTAATAACAAAAAACACTTTCGTTGCAATATTTTTTAAACAAGGTACGCCATCCTATAGTAAAAGAATCCTGACAGCTGAAATCAATGCACCACTGTTTATCTATCTGTCAGTCTACTACAGTAAAAGCATAAGACTCCTGCAACGTATTCACGATGTGTCTATTTGATGATGTAGGATAGATATGTGCTGAAAAACGCATATAATACATTTAATCACGTATGTGTTTTAGGGGCTTTACAGATATGAACGCAAACAGCGCGCAGTTGTTACGATCGTGTTGGCCTCTGAATCAGGTGAGCGATACGGACAAATCCAGAACCTGACGAAAGGCTGTCTCGTGTAGAAATTTCCAAGTGTTCACTACATATCTTGCTTGTTCAGTAGGGTGCAGAAGCTACCGCACGATGGGACTGATATACAACGATCAGGAGTTAAGGAGAGGTCAAGGCTTAATTACGGAGCATGCATACGTTATGAATGCAAGACGACCATGTTCAACATGACGTTGGCGCAAACGTTAATAGAACTAACGAGATTATTTTATTTTTAGTTTACTTCCTGTCTGGAGGCGCTGAGAGGCGTATTTAGTACATTTTCCTTTTCGCATCTGTTGCGTTATCGATATCCCGAGAGCCGTTGGTTATCAACCGAGGAACACAGCACAATAGCATTACTTGCTACCCACGTGATAATGCCTTCCTTCGCGGGGACGAACTAGCTGTATATATATATATATATATATATATATATATCGAAGACTTCGGCGAGCGGCACCTCACCGCTAAGTCAGCACTATCTACGCAAGTTCCAGCAATTGTTTCGTTCGTATTTTTTGTCTTTTATTAATGATTTCCTATGGCGTTAGCATGCTAGACATGTACATACTATGGAATATTCCAAGTAGAGTTCCTTCAAGACATTTTAATAAATTAATAATGCCGTTTAGTTCTTTCGAACATTTCTCGATACTCGATCGAGGGATTCTATAGAAATTCCGATCAAGTACGGTTACAATATGCTTAGACTTACACACAGACATAGCAGAGCGGATCACAATGATGTTTTGAGAAACGCGTTTTCATGCCATTTGTCTATATTTCAATATTTTACTGCCATGCATTGCAATAACTTTTCTTACTTCAAAAAGCCAACAGCAGCATCTGCTCGGAGCCAGCATATCAGATCGGAGAGTTGGGCAACTGTTGCGGTCTGCGTAAGCAGAACGAGAAATTGTGGGCTCAGACGGGGTCGCACGGCGGTGCGGCGCCATGGTAACAGCTGAAGGACATCAGTGTGAACCGGTGGTCTACTACCTAAACTTTCCACCTAATTTGCTGTTAAGTGGAGCCGATTGCTGCTGCTATTGACAACAAACGGAAATACGTCCACTGAATCCGCTGTTGGATCGAACAGAACCGAGTCAGCCTTGCCTCTTGAGCGCTACCAGCAATTATACACCGGGACGTGTGTATGTTCCGGAGTTTAGCAGGCACACAAGTGTTCAGTGCCATTGTAAAGATGGTAGTTGTGCTGCAAGAGTCAGGCAAAGAGTGCAGAAGCTATTGCAGAAAAGGTAGGAGCACGAACAACTATTGATCACGCTTGTAAGTGATTTTTGAGCTAGCGAGGAGCGCAGTTTAACTCGTCAAACAGGCCACAGATCAAGGGAGACTGAATGCGCATGCATCGGTCCAAATAGTTCGGCCTAACAAGGGTCTCTTGGTGATGTCAGCTGGCCACAAGAGGGACCAGCTGGGTAGTTTATTATGAGCATAATAATGATATTATACATTATCATTACAGTTATCTAATTGTGATCAGACAAAGCGAAAAAGCAAAACAAAAATTGTATTATGACTGACTGACTGAGCTTTAAAAGTATCAATGTCTAACATGCAAACGTACTACTTTGATCAACTTAAGGCACTGGATTCTTACTGACCGGCCTCACTACACCATTGTAAATATATAGAATAAGATAATTAAAGCATTGATTTACATCTTTAGAGATAAAACATTACACAACACCCGAACTAATAGCTCATTGAACGATAGTATTCCACGCTATAGACATGACTCAGTTCTGGTAGATGATTTCTAGCTGTGCAGTTTATCGAAACTTCTATATTGGTTTCCTATGCTAACAGTTTTCATTTTGTGGCTCTCCATACACGGGGACCAATTACCAGAAGCCAGCCAAAAAGACGACAATCCATGTAAAATAGATTGCCTTTATCAGTAGGCTCATGAAATCTTAATTAGATATTTGTTTAAGCCCCCTCGCCCCGAAACGTCTCGGCATAGTGATTCTTGCCAATAAAACCCACAAATAATTTTGGGTCACGATGGCGACACTGACTTCACAAGCAGCGAAGGGAACTTTACGTAAAAGTCGCAAAACGGCCTCGCTTGAAAATTGTTATATTATTCAATGTTGAAACCAAAGCATCGACGATTAAATATCTCTGGCAATATGGTTTCTAGCGTAGCTCGAACGGACAGTCGAGGCTTTACTCTGTAGTTCTGAAGAGCCTTTACGTTTAAGTAGATCGCTTTGCCTGTCAAAAGCTCCTGTCGTCAGCTCCTAATGATCCCATTTTCATCTGCCTAGTCAGACTCTCAGGCGGTTTTCTGCCGTTCACTGAACATTGTCTCCATGGCGGCTAGACTTCCCTTCACACGACATGAGGCGGCGTCAGGCCTCTCGTGGTTCCACAGACCCTACATCCTTCAGCCAACTCTTCAAGCTAGTTAAACCTGGCTATCTGTTTGAGAGCACAACGTCAGCATTCGCGCTCATCGATTATCAGACGAAACGTCCGCTCGACGAACATATTTCAGCGGTAGGGAGCGAACAACCACATCCCTCGGCGGCTGTAAGTAGAGAAGTCAAGCAGATACCTGTACTAGCAATGAAATTTATCGTTCTTGCTGTCTATCTACAAGAACATATAGACACTGACTGCCGAGATAGAAATTACTTCCGCAACAAAGAAAGCCGCTGATTATATCAAAGACGTTACCGAATGTACCGACAGTATCGGTTTCTACTGCTCTCTTATGATGACAGGGATGGTTTAAGTACATAACGACGTTAGGCCCCCGATATTTTGGCCAGAACCCGACGCTGACAAGTCCTAGGGCCACGTCGGCCTCTCACTGCGGAACGGCACATCGAGGAAGATCGCGAATAAAAGACCTTTATATATATACGTGATACCTATATATATATATATATATATATATATATATATATATATATATATATATATATATATACGAAGCTTTAGCTGCTCGAGAGCTAATATTCCTACGTTTCGCCAGACAATACGATCCGCATTACACGGAAAGGGTTAACAGTGGTTTTATTTTAGAAATAGGGCGCAATCGTGGCAAAATGACCCAGCTTAAGCAGAAAGCCATGTCCCCAATGACGAACTTCGTATCCACGATGACAGTTTCAAGTACTGGCAGTCCCATAACACAGCCCAAATTACGACTGCGATCTGTACAGACCAAGTCGTGGGATAAATGTACGTATCGCATAACTTCTATGAAAAGCGTTACATATACTATATATAAATAGTTCATATACACATAATAATGTAATGATAATAAGTATATGATAAAATGCCGTCATGAATGAAACGGTTATGTCTAAGATGCGTTCCTTTCGCACTGATGTCTCTTATTATAGTCAAATAACAACATATATATATATGTACTTTTATACTTACTATTATTTTACTATTTTTATACTTACTTTATACATACTATTATCTTATGGTATATTTTGTAATTGTATAACTATATACATATAAAATTTAGTGTGTTCAATCTAAGCAAAGTGTTCGTTACTTTTTTTCAGTTTTTGTATCTAATTAAAGCTTCGCTTGAGAAAAGACGTCGGAAAAATCGGTATAAAGGGAGCATTTGGATTTCTTTCTGTGAAAGATCAACCCAGCTGCTACCCCATAGCTTTCTTGTTCATGATTGTTACTGGACGAGCTCGCGCTTTTGCCAAGCAAACGATTGGGGACAGTTCAGTTACCAAAAGAGAGAGGATTGCACCGCTGCTATACTATACGCCGTTTCTGACGGCAAACCTCAATGTGCTGAGTTAGCTCGGTACCCCTCTACTCTTAAAGAAAACTGTCTAATTTCCAGTTTTTACCACTCTTTTCCCTCGTTTTTCTTTTAATTTTCTATTGATTTTTGTTGATTCGGTTGCGGTTGCAGCTAGCAAACCTTTCATGGCCGTTCATTTCTAGATGGCATATATGGGCCAAATCATTTTTGCTTTTGCTGCAAAAAAACCATGCGTTTTATGTTCAACTACAGCACCGGTTCATACACTCGCGAACACTTACACATGTAGATATGCTACCGATATAAGACCTAGCTTCATCTTCTATCTCATAATCCCTCTCAAACCATCTCAGTTCTTTCTTTCGCAGACAACCAGTTATTGCCCATTATTTTAACTTATGTATATGTATGTATCTAAGTGTGT